GAAACGAGAGGGTGAGTGGGCGGGGCTAGTACTTGCTAAGATAAAACTGATGTTCGCAATTGACATATTCTCTAAGAAAAGACAGGGTGGGTGGGTGTTCTAGCACCTGACAAGATAAGACTTATATTGGCAAATGTAACACTACCCTTCACTTACTGTCAAGGTAATTTACTTTGAAAAAATCAATCTTAAAAAGGTGAGCGTAGCGAGCACATTCAGGATATTTCAGTCCCACAGACTTTGGTGATCACAATATTTAAACCCACATTTTTAAATAACAAAAATTGTTCTTAGTAATTTAGCTTCTCAAGGACACCAATAAATAATTTAGTAACACCTAAATGTGCTCGCTGCACTCGCACTACGAATATTCTTTTCTTGTTTTTATTACAATTACTCTCGAAATCTTCCTGTCAAGATATTGTGAAAAAATCAAACCCTAAAATGCGAGCGTAGCGAGCACGTTCAGGATGTTTAATATAATAATCTTTAAACTCACATATTAAATAAATTAAACAAAAAAATAGTTCTCAATAAGCGAGCACGTTTAAGATATTTCAGTCATTGGTAATTACAATATTTAAATTCACACTTTTAAATGGCAAAAAATTGTTCTTAGTAATTTAGCTTCTCAAAGACACCAATAAACTTTTTTTTTATAAAACCTGAACGTGCTCGCTACGCTCACATTCGAGACGCTCTTTTTTTACAGTTTAGTCTCATTAAAGTAATTAAAAGAGAATTTCAGCAAAGCTATCTCGTCTAAGTTTTGGAGGAATAATAAATCCCGATGAATTCCTTGTCAAGGTAAATTACTCTGAAAAAAAGTCAAGCTCAGAATGTTTAAAGTCATATTTTTAAAAAACAAAAAAAATTGTTGTCAACAATTTGAAATATAAATAAACCGAAGCCGAAAATAATTTTTACACAACAAAATCTACAAAAAAATGTCATCAGCTCATTTTTAAAGATGCTGGCAAAACAGTCAAAGATTTGATCTGATCTGAATCATTGAAAAATTGAGATTTTTGAAAAGTGGTCTAAAAAACGACAAAAAAATTCTAAGATATAGATCTCGACGAGCTGATGTTCAAAAAAATAACGTGTTGATTGTCCTGGGGCAAGGTTTTCTGAAATATTCAATTTGAAAATGAATTTCTGAGTTATCTCAAAAACATTATCTATATTACATACTTTAATTATTATCGATTCTGGAAAAATTCTTGATATTTTCGAAAAACTGAAATCGAAATAATTTACACAGGTAGAAATCAACACCTTTAGATAATTTTTGAAAAGTGTTGGTGGAACGGTCAAAATTTGATTTGAGTTGAGTAGTTGAAAAAATTGAATGTCTAAAAATCCACAATTCTGGGCGGCAGATTTAAATAAAGGTGTTGATTGTCTCGGACCAAAATTTTCTGAAATATTTGGTTTGAAAACGAAAATTTTGGGATATCTCAAAAAACGTCATTTATCGATTCTGGAAAAATTGTTGGAATTTTCGAAAAACCGAAACCGAAAATAATTTTTACACAACAAAATTTACAAAAAATGTCTTCAGCGCATTTGAAAGGTGCTGGCAAAACGATCAAAGATTTGATCTGATCTGAATCACTGAAAAATTGAGATTTTTGAAAAGTGGTCTAAAAATCGACAAAAAAATTCTGGACGAGCTGATATTAAAAAAAATTAAGGTGTTGATTGCTCTGGGGCAAGGCTTTCTGAAAATTCAATTTGAAAATGAATTTCTGAGTTATCTCAAAAACATTATCTATATTACATACTTTAATTGTCGATTCTGGAAAAATTCTTGATATTTTCCGAAAACTGAAGTCGAAATAATTTACACAGGTAGAAATCAACACCTTTAGATAATTTTTGAAAAGTGTTGGTAGAACGGTCAAAATTTGATTTGAGTTGAGTTGTTGAAAAAATTTAATGTCTAAATATCCACAATTCTGGGCGGCAGATTTAAATGAAGGTGTTGATTGTCCCGAACCAAAATTTTCTGAAATATTTGGTTTGAAAACGAAAATTTTGGAATATCTCATAAGACGTCATTTTGGCAAATGACGTACCTTCCAAACAAAGAGAAGACGGGTGGACAGGACTAATACCTAATAAGACTAATTTTGGCAAATGGGATATTCTCTAAGAAACGAGAGGGCGGGTGGGCGGGGCTAGTACTTGCTAAGATAAAACTGATTTTCGCAAATGACATATCCTCTAAGAAAAGAGAGGGTCGGTGGGTGGGCTAGCACCTGATAAGATAAGACTTATATTGGCAAATGTAACACTACCCTTCACTCACTGTCAAGGTAAATTACTTTGAAAAAATCAATCTCAGAAAGGCGAGCGTAGCGAGCACGTTCAGGATATTTCAGTCCCACAGACTTTGGTGATCACAATATTTAAACTCACATTTTTAAATTCTTAGTAATTTAGCTTCTGAAGGACACCAATAAATAATTTAGTAACACCTAAATGTGCTCGCTGCACTCGCACTCTGAATATTCTTTTCTTGTTTTTATTACAATTACTCTCGAGATCTTCCTGTCAAGATATTGTGAAAAAACCAAACCCTAAAATGCGAGCGTAGCGAGCACGTTCAAGATATTTAATATAATAATCTTTAAACTCACGTATTAAATAAATTAAACAAAAATATAGTTCTCAATAAGCGAGCACGTTCAAGATATTTCAGTCATTGGTAATTACAATATTTAAATTCACACTTTTAAATGACAAAAAATTGTTCTTAGTAATTTGGCTTCTAAAGGACACCAATAAATTTTTTTTTTAATAAAACCTGAACGTGCTCGCTACGCTCGCAATCTAGACGCTCTTTTTTTGCAGTTTAGTCTCATTGAAGTAATTAAAAGAGAATTTCAGCAAAGCTGTCTCGTCTAAGTTTTGGAGGAATAATAAATCCCGACGAATTCATTAGGTAAATTACTCTGAAAAAAGTCAACCTCAGGATGTTTAAAGTCATATTTTTAAAAAACAAAAAAAATGTTGTTAACAATTTGAAATATTTGGTTTGAAAACGAAAATTTTGGAATATCTCAAAAAACGTCATTAGAATTTTCGAAAAACCGAAGCCGAAAATAATTCTTACACAACAAAATCTACAAAAAAATGTCATCAGCTCATTTTTAAAGATGCCGGCAAAACGGTCAAAGATTTGATCTCATCTAAATCATTGAAAAATTGAGATTTTTGAAACGTGGTCTAAAAATCGACAAAAAAATTCTAAGATATAGATCTCGACAAGCTGATATTAAAAAAAATAACGTAAATAATTTACACAGGTAGAAATCAACACCTTTAGATAATTTTTAAAAATTGTTGGGAGAACTGTCAAAATTTGATTTGAGTTGAGTTGTTGAAAAAATTGAATGTCTAAAAATCCACAATTCTGGGCGGCAGATTTAAATGAAGGTGTTGATTGTCCCGGACCAAAATTTTCTGAAATATTTGGTTTGAAAACGAAAATTTTGGAATATCTCATAAAACGTCATTTTGGCAAATGACGTACCTTCCAAACAAAGAGAGGGCGGGTGGACAGGACTAATACCTGCCAAGATAAGACAAATGGCAAATGGAATATCCTCTAAGAAAAGAGAGGGTGGGTGGGCGGGGCTAGTACCTGATAAGATAAGACTTATATTGGCAAATGTAACACTACCTTTCACTCACTGTCAAGGTAAATTACTTTGAAAAAATCAATCTCAAATCAATTCAGGATATTTCAGTCCCACAGACTTTGGTGATCACAATATTTAAACTCACATTTTTAAATAACAAAAATTGTTCTTAGTAATTTAGCTTCTCAAGGACACCAATAAATAGTTTTTTAAAGTTCACGTGAATCTCTAGATCACTAAAAAATTCTCTCATTGATAATAATTTAGCTTCTCAAGGACACTGACGAGTAATTTTAATGACACTTAAACGTGCTATATTTTTTTAAATAATGTGAGAATACTTTATTCTGAGAAAAATCTAACCTGACAAATAGTATCAGGTCATCGTTCACAATTTTTTTATACAGTAAAATTTACTAAAAAATCAGGCAAATTTTGACTAGTCAGTACCAGTCTATCACCGACATGCACATTAAAAGTCAAGGATGACTCGATTAAAATCAATATTGATATTGAACACTTTACAAACTTTATATTCTAGTGCCACATTTTCTACACCAATGAGCATCACGGAAACATTAATTACGCACAAAGCAGTTAACTCGTTTGAAATGACCACACTTTACGCACTCTGAACACACACATTTATACAAATTCGCGTTTAAAACTCAAAGCAAATCGCATTCGAATAGACGGACTAAAAGTTCACCTAAATGACGTCATCAAATTTTTCATGGAGGGAATCAAAACAGAATAAACACCTGGAATGTTGTTTAGATCGAGAATTAACCACGTTAAGATATTTAAATAAAATTAATTATTTGAAGAGTAGCACCCGAACACATTTTTAATTTTTCAGACTTGTATGTGTCGAAACCTCAGACCGATTTCCACCCACAAACATTTATGCTAACGTTGCGTTTTATCCGATTTAATTATTCAGCCCGAATTTACTCCCCAAGTGTCTCCTGGTTTCTCTTTTGCATCCATATTTTAAAGGCCACGACTCGTAAAATCGCCCCAAATGAATGTAACCCTGTTTTATCGAAACTTTCTTGTAGATAAACACAATAAAAAGCCCGGGGCAATTTTTTACCCTCATTTGAATGTAGTCGAACAAAAACCGAATTCATTCCCTCGGGCGTTATTCCGTCGACATTTTTCTAAATTAATCGACTTTCATCGCGCGAAAAAAAGCAAAAGAGCCTTTTTTAATTGGAAATTATAATGTCATTAAACATCGGAGCTTATTAAGAGCACGCCATTATTTTTTATTCATATCGGTTACAAGAAAAGCGAGCTTTGCTGAAGAAAGCGATGCATTTTTCATGAGTTTGTGCAAATACGAACCTTCCTGAGTCCTTAAACATCTCAGCAGGATAAATAAGTGTCAATTATTGGTGGTGGTCGAGTTAAAAAAAAAGCGCTGGAAAAAAAAGTCGATGGAAATAAATCGCGCCGACTTTTCCAGATTGAGTGTGGTGAAAAGCTCGCGGAAATCGGTTTTTCGCGCAACTGTGAAGCGCCTCGCTTCAGCGCCCGAACTTCACTGACTGAAACTCTGAATATGTAACCTGTTAGGATTCTGAAAATCCACCCCCACCAGCATGTCGCATTGATCTGGAAAAGGCTTTTCACTGTGTTATCTAAATTTTAATATAAATAAGTGAATCGAAGTTGGGGAATTTACATAAATTTAAGGGCAGTTACTTGATGGAAAAAGTGTTTAATGGATGGAGGGTTTACGTAAACAAATCTGTTACGTGGGCTTGCGTCATCGCAATCAAATTTTTCAAGTAATTATGGTGAAATTTCATCGAAGCCAAGGGGATACGTCAATTTCAATTAAATTTTATTTGGCTCCATTCCACAAATTGCTTTTGTTGTCATAAGAGGGGGAAATAATTGTAGAATAATAAAGGAGGGCGAAATGGGCGAAAGCGGCGTTGATATAACAAACAAATATAAAAACCTATGAAAACTGTTATATTGGGAATTGGCCGGGGATTCTGGACGGGTTGTTTGCTTGCTTTCAACATTTAAACGGTTGGGGTAATGGCTTTGGGTTTTCTTAGCTCGGGATTAGCGCTAACACGAGCTTCTTCACTGGCATTTCTGACGAGAATTTTAATTAAGTTCAGCTGTCAAGTTTCCAAAAACGATGTGGATTCATAAACCACAACTACAACAATATATTGTTTCACAATATTTGGACAATCTTGTAAAATTGTAAAATTCCTTACTGCAGTTTCGATATCTTAACATATTTGAAAATTGTGTTTGAAACTTCGAAAGCTTGAAATTAATTGGAGACTACGTTGACACTTTAGTTCAAATGTCACTCCAAAGTCGCACGTTGTGGCTTTCTTAATATTTTTATATTCTTCAAGAGCACACAGTTTCAAATGGAAGTGTCAGTGTGTTGGTTATAATTTTGAGTTAAATTCAAACTCAAGTTTTGGCAGTGTAAAATTGTGGAACCGTTTTAAGCGTAAAAACTCAGTTCTAAAAGTGCCATTTGTCGTTATTTAAGGTTAATTTTCCACAATTTTAAAACTTTTGTCTAGTGTCATTTTACATTTACATTTGGAAGCCGATTTATGACTTCAACTTAGAATAAATACTGTTTCTAGAAATGTGAAATTCCTTGTACTTAGATCTACATAGATTTCAAACATAGAATAAACTTTTAAAAACGTTGTTGGAGTTTCCAGATCACACAGTTTCAAATGGAAGTGTCAGTGTGTCGGTTATAATTTTGAGTTAAATTCAAACCTAAATTTTGGAAGTGTAAAATTGTTGAACCGTTTTAAGCGTAAAACTCACTTCTAAAAGTGCCATTTGTCATTGTTTGAAATTAATTTTCCACAATTTTAAAACTTTTGTCGAGTATCATTTTACATTTACATTTGGAAGCCGATTTATGACTTCTACTTAGAATAAACATTGTTACTAGAAGTTTAAAATTGTAAAATTCCTTGTACTTAAATCTACATGGATTTCAAACATAGAATTAATTTTTTAAAACGTTATTGCACTTTCCAGAACTTGACATATTTAAACATTGTGTTTGGGACTGCGAAACCTTCAAATTAATTTGGCACTACTTTGACACTTTTGTCAAATGTCACACCAGAGTTGCATGTTGTGGATTTCTTTACAATGTTTTATTCTTCAAGAGTGGACATTTTCAAATGGAAGCTTCAGTGTCTCAGTTATAATTTTAATTTAAATTCAAACCCAAGTTTTGGAAGTGTAAAATTGTGAAACCGTTTTAAGCGTAAAACTCACTTCTAAAACTGCCATTTGTCATTTTTTGAAATTAATTTTCCACAATTTTAACACTTTTGTCGAGTGTCATTTTACATTTACATTTGCAAGCTGATTTACGACTTCAACTTAGAATAAATACTGCTTCTAGAAGTGTAAAATTCCTTGTACTTAGATCTACATAGATTTCAAACATAGAATAAACTTTTAAAAACGTTGTTGGAGTTTCCAGATCACACAGTTTCAAATGGAAGTGTCAGTGTGTCGGCTATAATTTTGAGTTAAATTCAAACCCAAGTTTTGGAAGTGTAAAATTGTGAAAGCGTTTTAAGCGGAAAATTCACTTCTAAAAGTGCCATTTGTCATTATTTGAAGTTAATTTTCCACAATTTTAAAACTTTTGTCGAGTGTCATTTTACATTTACATTTGGAAGCCGATTTATGACTTCAACCTAGAATAAATACTGTTTCTAGAAGTGTAAAATTCCTTGTACTTAGATCTACATCGATTTCAAATATAGAATAAACTTTTAAAAACGTTGTTGGAGTTTCCAGATCACACAGTTTCAAATGGAAGTATCAGTGTGTCGGTTATAATTCTGAGTTAAATTCAAACCCAAGTTTTGGAAGTGTAAAATTGTGAAACCGTTTTAAGCGTAAAACTCACTTCTAAAAGTGCCATTTGTCATTTTTTGAAATTAATTTTCCACAATTTTAAAACTGTTGTCGAGTGTCATTTTACATTTACATTTGGAAGCCGCTTTATGACTTCGACTTAGAATAACCACTGTTTCTAGAAGTGTAAAATTGTAAAATTCCTTGTACTTATTAGATCTACATAGATTTCAAACATTGAATAAACTTTTAAAAACGTTATTGCACTTTCCAGAACTTGACTATTTGAACATTGTGTTTGGAACTTCGAAACCTTCAAATTAATTTGTCTTTTGTCAAATGTCACACCAGAGTTGCATGTTGTGGATTTCTTTACAATGTTTTATTCTTCAAGAGTAGACATTTTCAAATGGAAGCGTCAGTGTCTGTTACAATTTTAAGTTAAATCCAAACCCAAGTTTTGGAAGTGTAAAATTGTGAAACCGTTTTAAGCGGAAAACTCACTTCTAAAAGTGCCATTTGTCATTTTTTGAAATTAATTTTCCACAATTCTAAAACTTTTGACGAGTGTCATTTTACATTTACATTTGGAAGCCGATTTATGACTTCAACTTAGAATAAATACTGTTTCTAGAAGTGTAAAATTCCTTGTACTTAGATCTACATAGATTTCAAACATAGAATAAACTTTTAAAAACGTTGTTGGAGTTTCCAGATAACACAGTTTCAAATGGAAGTGTCAGTGTGTCGGTTATAATTTTGAGTTAAATTCAAACCAAAGTTGTGGAAGTGGAAAATTGTGGAACCGTTTTAAGCGCAAAATTCACTTCTAAAAGTGCCATTTGTCATTATTTAAAGTTAATTTTCCACAATTTTAAAACTTGTGTCGAGTGTCATTTTACATCTACATTTCGAAGCCGATTTATGACTTCGACTTAGAATAACCACTGTTTCTAGAAGTTTAAAATTGTAAAATTCTTTGTACTTAGATCTACATGGATTTCAAACGTAGAATTAACTTTTAAAAACGTTATTACAGTTTCCAGATTTTGATATATTTGAACAATGTTTGAACCTTTCAAATTAATTTTACACTACTTTGACACTTTTATTCAAATGTCATTCCAGAGCCGCTTGTTGTGCATTTCTTTATAATTTTTTATTCCTCAAAATTACAGTTTCAAATGGAAGCGTCAATGTGTTAGTTATAATTTTGAGTTAAATTCAAACACAAGTTTTGGAAGTGTAAAATTGTGGAACGGTTTTAAGCGCAAAACTCACTTCTAAAAGTGCCATTTGTCATTATTTAAAGTTAATTTTCCACAATTTTAAAACTTTTGTCGAGTGTTAATTTACATTTACATTTTTGGAAGACGATTTATGACTTCGACTTAGAATAAATACTGTTTCTAGAAGTGTAAAATTGTAAAATTGCTTGTTCTTAGATCTACATGGATTTCAAACATAGAATTAACTTTTAAAAACGTTATTACAGTTTCCAGATTTTGATATATTTGAACAAGATGTTTGAACCTTTCAAACTAATTTGACACTACTTTGACACTTTTGTTCAAATGCCACTCCAGAGTGGCTTGTTGTGCATTTCTTTATAATTATTTATTCCTCAAGAGTACACAGTTTCAAATGGAAGCGTCAGTGTGTCAGTTATAATTTTGAGTTAAATTCAAACACAAGTTTTGGAAGTGTAAAATTGTGGAACCGTTTTAAACGCAAAACTCACTTCTCAAAGTGCCATTTGTCATTTAAAGTTACTTTTCCACAATTTTAAAACTTTTGTCGAGTGTCATTTTACATTTACATTTGGAAGACGTTTTGTGACTTCGACTTAGAATAAACACTGTTTCTAGAAGTTTAAAATTGTAAAATTCTTTGTACTTAGATCTACATGGATTTCAAACATATAATTAACTTCAGATTTTGATATATTTGAACAATATGTTTGAACCTTTCAAATTAATTTGACACTTTTGTTCAAATGTCACCCCAGAGTCGCTTGTTGTGCATTTCTTTATAATTTTTTATTCCTCAAGAGTACACAGTTTCAAATGGAAACGTCAGTGTGTCAGTTATAATTTTGAGTTAAATTCAAACCCAAGCTTTGGAAGTGTAAAATTGTGGAACCGTTTTGAACGTAAAACTCACTTCTAAAAGTGCCATTTGTCATTTTTTGAAATTAATTTTCCACAATTTTAAAACTTTTGACGAGTGTCATTTTACAGTTACATTCGGAAGACGATTCAGGACTTCAACTTAGAATAAATACTGTTTCTAGAAGTGTAAAATTCCTTGTACTTAGATCTATATAGATTTCAAACATAGAATAAACTTTTAAAAACGTTGTTGGAGTTTCCAGATCACACAGTTCCAAATGGAAGTATCAGTGTGTCGGTTATAATTTTGAGTTAAATTCAAACCCAAGTTTTGGAAGTGTAAAATTGTGAAACCGTTTTAAGCGTAAAACTCACTTCTCAAAGTGCCATTTGTCATTTTTTGAAATTAATTTTCCACAATTTTAAAACTTTTGTCGAGTGTCAATTTACATTTACATTTGGAAGTTGATTTATGACTTCGACTTAGAATAAACACTGTTTCTAGAAGTTTAAAATAGTAAAATTCCTTGTACTTAAATCTACATGGATTTCAAACATAGAATTAATTTTTGAAAACGTTATTGCACTTTCCAGATCTTGACATATTTGAACTTTTTGTTTGGAAGTTCGAACCTTTCAGATTAATTTGATACTACTTTGACACTTTTGTCAAATGTCACTCCAGAGTCGGACGTTGTGGCTTTCTTAATATTTTTTTATTTTTCAAGAGCACACAGTTTCAAATGGAAGCATCAGTGTGTCGGTTATAATTTTGACTTAAATTCAAAGCCAAGCTTTAGAAGTGTAAAATTGTGAAACCGTTTTAAGCGTAAAACGCACTTCTAAAAGTGCCATTTGTCGTTACTTGAAACTAATTTTAAAACTTTTGTCAAGTGTCATTTTACATTTACATTTGGAAGTCACTTTATGACCGGGAATTGGATTAAATCCTGTTTCTGCAAGTGTAAAATCGTAAAATCCCTGAACATACGTCACGCATTTGCCACAACCAGCACATAACACAGTTCTGTGGCTAAACGAACCATTAGAGCTTCAACCTAACGACATTTCCCTGCAAACTCCACATTATTACATCTTATCCCATCGAGCCCAACTTTTTCCGTTTAGCTCACGCACTGATAAACTTAAAGCGAAAATTTATTACCGAAGTTATGGCTTTGAATACATCCTTAATTGTCAATTTGTAGCAGTCATAACAACTTAGTCTCTTCCTTCTTTCGCTCACATCTCATCCTTTCGACAGTGAAACACATAAATGAATAAAATCTCTCTCTGAGGACGCAATCTTCTCAACAGTGTGTATAAAGTTACAAACGCGGATATTCACCAAATCCCATTTGGTTAATGGTCGATACATTTGAATTTATACACAAACTGGTGCAGATGGAAATTCCCACGGGAATATTTCAAGGTTAAAAAATGACAGTTGCTCGGTACTGTATTATTACATGAGCTATAACACAATTATCGCATCTTCCTTCCACGCTAGAGTACAAAGCTGATAATGCCAATGCAATGCGCCGTAATTGATTTATTACCGGCAGTAAAGTGCAATTACATTAATCGATACGTTGATAAGTAAAAAAAAACTGGTGCCCGACTTCCTGTTTTCGTCCTAGCAGTAATAAAACACACCCCTATTTACTATTTATTTTATTATAATTTTAAATGAAATAGGTACAATAATTTAGTTAGTCTAAAGTTCCATTCATAAGCAATAATTAAATGACTCACGAAAATTAACACTAGGTGTAAGCATACAGCTCAAAATAAATACAGCCTTTTCATATTTTAAACTCGTTATTTATTATTTTAAATTATTAAGATAATTCCTTTAGAAGATCACTTATATAGGTGTCAGGATTCGTTATAACATCCAATAAACCTGAAACAAAACAAAAATAATAATCAAGTGCGACGTCCACTACGACCACCCACCCACCTGTTACATCACAGAATTCTGAAAAGGAAGTGCAAGGTAGTAACTCCTCGGTATACGCCGCCAACAACTTCTCCGACGCCTTCATCAACGCCTCGTCGTTGTGCCGTATATAGTCGGCCAAATTCGTAGACCACTGCTCCTCTGACCCGGTTACGTTCTGAAAACGAAAACTAGATGTCTCGTACGAAATTCACACCATGGCCAGCTAAGATCTGGAGTGCGCTACGCTCCCGGAGCTGAATTTCTTGTTGAAATTGATTCTAACCTCAAAAATTTGTTGGGTAACTAGCGACACCTTTACATGCATTTTGAATGCAAGTCTCGATGTGTCAATTTTAAAATCTTGCAAATGTTTTAAGGCAGTCGAAAGCGGTAAATCAAAATTTATTTCTAAAAAACCGAAACATTGTAAAATTTAAAAATGTAGAAAATTAAAAACAAAAGAATAGAAAATAGAAAAGTTCTAAATCCAAAAATTAAATAATTAAAACATGATAAATTCAAAAGCAAAAAAATCGAAAAATTGAAAAATCAAAAAACCAAAGAACGCAATACTTCAAAATTAAAAAAAAAATTCTAAAAAAACCTTCAACGGATTCTATTTAAATGTACTTTAAAAGCTCGAACCACCGAAGAAACGAAGAATTAAAACATTGAAAAATTCAAATTGTACAAACAAGTCGAAAAACCGAAAATTTTTAAATTGAGGCACACAAAAATCGAACTGTAAAATCAAAAAAATAAAATCTCTAAAAATTGAAAATTCGAAAATAAAGAACAGAAAAACGGAAAAATTCAAATGTTGGAAAACATACAGAAGTTAAAAAAATTGAAGAAACGAAAAATTGTATATCGAACATTAAAAATATGTATAGGAACTAAAAAATGAACTGAAAAAAAAAACGAAAAAATAAAGCATCAAACAGTTCAAAATTCCAAGAATAAAGAAATAAAAAACTGAATAATCGAGAAATTATGATATAGAAAAATTAAAGAAACTAAAATTACAAAAATTTTAGATTTTCCCTTTCTTGATCTTCCGATTTCCCGATGTTTCGATTTTTCGCCTTAGGATTTTTGGGTTTTTATTTTTAAAATTTTTGATTTTTCGATTTCGCTATTTATCGAGATTTCAATGTTATATTTTTTAATTTTCCGTTCTATTGTTTTTTTAAGTTGAAATTTTTCGATTTTGGGCTATTTTGATTTCTCTATTTTTAAATTTTCGATTTTGCGATGTTTAATTTTCAATTTTCCGAATTTTTATATTTTCCATTGTTCGGATTTCTCAAGTTTTTGATGCTTAGTTTTGCGATTTTTCAATATTTCAATTTTTTTTTGAATCGAAAAATTTAAAGTGAAAATTTCCAAATTTGTATTATAACTTTTCGACATATCAGTATTTACTTTTAATTTCTAGATTTTTTTTGTTTTTCGTTTCCTCAGATTTTCGATTTTTTGATTTCCCAATTTAAAATTTTTGAATATGTATTTAAATTTTTTCCCTTTCTTGATTTTTCAAGTTTTCGATTTCTTAACTAATCAATGGATTTTTTTATTTTTCTTGATCTTTCGGTTTTTAGACCTCGATTTTTCGATTTTTCAATTTTTTGATATTTTCCAATATTTTGAATTCACGGTTTTTCCATTTTCCAATTTTTCGATTTCAACTCTCGAAATTCCAGTTTCGCGATTTTTTAGTTTTTCAATTTTTCAATTTTACAATTTCTCAATTTATAATTTTTTTGATTTGTTAGTTTTTGATTTTTAAATTCTACATTTGTCAAATTTCCGATTTTTTGATGTTTAGATTTCCCGACATCAAATTTTTAAATATACGCAAATTTTACGATTTCTCAACTTTTCGTTTTCTAGATTTTTCAAGTTTTCGATTTCTTAACAAACTTATCAATGGATTTTTTATTTTTTCTGTGACCTTTCGATTTTTAGACTTAAGATTTTTCGATTTTTCAATTTTTTGAGTGATTTTATTATTTCGATTTCTCGGTTTTTCCATTTTTCGATTTCAGCTCTCGACATTTCAGTTTTTGAATTTTTCGATTTCTTAACTTCTAGTTTTTTTGATTTGTTAGTAAATTCTACATTTTTTCATTTTGCGATTGAACGATTTTTTGATCTTTCGATTTCTTAATTTTTTACATTTCAATTATTGGAATTTCTCAAGTTTGGGATTTTTAATTTTCGATTTTTCGATCTCTATTTGTTGCTTTTTAAGTTTTTTCGATTTTTCAATTTCTTTTTTGAAATTTTAGTATTTCAATTTTTTTATTCCTACATTTTCCGGTTTTCAATTTCACGATTTTTTCATGTTTCAATTTTCGATTTTGCGATGTTTAATTTTCAATTTTCCGAATTTTTATATTTTCCATTGTTCGGATTTCTCGAGTTGTTGATGCTTAGTTTTGCGATTTTTCAATATTTCAATTTTTTACTTCAACGACTTTTCAATTTTCCGCCTTAATTTTCGAATTTGGATTACTTCGATTTCTAAATTTTCGATTTTTCGACATATCAGTATATAGACTTTAAATTTCTAGATTTCTTTGTTTTTCGTTTCTTCAAATTTTCGATTTTTTGATTTCCCAATTTAAAATTTTTGAATATGTATTTAAATTTTTCGCTTTCTTGATTTTTCAAGTTTTCGATTTCTTAACTAATCAATGGATTTTTTTATTTTTCCGTGATCTTTCGGTTTTTAGACTTCGATTTTTCAATTTTTTGACATTTTGTTTTTTGAGATTTTCCAATATTTCGATTTCACGGTTTTTCCATTTTCCAATTTTTCGATTTCAACTCTCGAAATTCCAGTTTCGAGATATTTTAGTATTTCAATTTTTCAATTTTACAATTTCTCAATTTATAGTTTTTTTGATTTGTTAGTTTTTGATTTTAAAATTCTTTGTTTCGATTTTCCGATATCAAATTTTTAAATATACGCAAATATTACGATTTTTCGACTTTTCGTTTTCTTGATTTTTCAAGTTTTCGATTTCAACTCTCGAAATTACGGTTTTTGAATTTTTCGATTTCTTAACTTCTAGTTTTTTTGATTTGTTAGTAAGTTCTACATTTTTCCATTTTGCGATTTCTTAATTTTTAACGTTTCAATTTTTGGATTTTGATTTTAGATTTTTCACTCTCTATTTGTTGATTTTTAGATTTTTAGATTTTTGAAATTTTACATTTTGCCATTTTTCGATTTTTCAATTTCTTTTTTGAAATTTTAGTATTTCAATTTTTTTATTCCTACATTTTCCAGTTTTCAATTTTACGATTTTTTGATGTTTCGATTTCCCGATTTTAATTTTTTAATATGTATTTCATTTTATCGATTTGTCGAAATTTCGATTTTCCAAGTTTTCGATTTCTCAGTTTTACAATTTTTCAATTTTGGGAATTTTTCACTTCCTTTTAATTTAGCGCGAACCGACTCGAACAAATTTTGAACTATTAGCCGAAGTACTCTCAGGTACATCGCCAAACTCATCAACACAGTCAGAAAATTCTAAAACTCAAAATAGAAAAATACCAAGCACAACATAAATCACATTCAAATTCAGAAGCCACTACTCTGTAGTCAATACTAACATACTTAACTTCGAGTGTTTATGTTTACAAATCCGACGAATTTTCGAAATATGTATCCGTTTGTCACGGGAGCGCAGCACCAGATCTCACTCAACCACTCTCACTCACCCTTACCTTAAAGAAATAGCTATAAATCCCATCAACCAATCCGAAGAAGACCAAATACGGCTTATACACCGCGTACTCCTTCAGCCCTCTATCAGCCAAAAGTTTATTCGGCCCGGACGGATGACAGTGCCTCGCCTGCGCCAAAAGCACGAGCCGCTTCAGATGCCCCAACTTATGCGCATTCCACTGCTGCAACGAATGCAGAAGTATCGACATCGTGGCCCAGAACAGCGGCCCTTCGGCTTCGTACGCCGACTCGACCCACCTTTCCTCGTTGGAGCACTTGAGATACGACATAAGGCTACCTTCCTCCCGCTTGCTCACGCGGGTGCTGAAACCATCATTTAGCCAAGAGTCACAGCGAAGTGTGCCGACTTACGTATTTATCACATAGAGGGCGATGTGCACGATGTAGGGGACCATGTGCATGTTGCTCTGGGGTCCGCCGCCGCCCGTGTCCTCGTGGAACGACTTCTCCTGGGCGAATCGCCAGAGAAGTAGCTTTAGATCGTGGATGGTGGAGTTGTGACCGATGTCTCTATGGTTGGTGCTTTCTTGTAGATAGGTGTTGTGTCTGGCTAGGCAGCTGGCGAAGGCGGATTCGGGAACCTGGGGGCCCCATAAGGGTAGCAAGCCGTTGCATTTGGTGTTGGCGTTTTGGAGGGCGGCGGATTCCCACTCGTCTCGGGCTCGGGCTAAACGAACGGCACTCATGTGGCAGTCGATGTGGACTATGTTGAAGTGACTGACGGTGGTGTAGCCGGCGGTGCGACGCGACTTGGCTTCGAAGTCGTCGACGTTACACCGCTTAGTGAAAGTATAAATCCCTAGTACCTTGGTCGGTTGGTACTTGTACCCTTCCCGACATATACAACACACAAGACCTGTTTCTTCACCCAGTTCCTCGATTTGTTGCAAGATGGCGGACTTAGCAGTCACCTGACCTTTGTCATTGGTGCGCATGCCCAGTTGGCCCAGTTGCTTCTCGCGCATAGCCATCGCGAGCCGTTTTTTCTCGCTACGGGTGAACTCCCGGACTTCCTCGATCTGTTTAGCCACACTAGGGTTGGTACACAGAGCTTCGAGGAGATTCTCTGCTAAAGACCCCACGTGCTCGTCCGACGATACTTGTTCCAGTCGGTGGATGATCGGAATAGTTTCGGCCGCAGCTACCCCCAACTACACACTATTCAGTCAAAGGGTCACCCTCAAACTAAACTACTCACCTGAGTGTTCTCGTGGCTATGCGCCAGACCAGTAAGGAACCTCAAACAATACTTGAGCGCCGGTTTCGAAATAAAGTCCTTCAATTCGTCGCTGTCCGTCCTGAGTAAAGTCGGCTTAACGCAAGGCGCGTGCATCGTAATATACTCCAAGTAGTCTTTAACTATCCCCAACGAAATAATGTGATCCTTCAGCGTATTCCCAATGGCGTTTCGCTCAATCCCGTTGGTCAAAACGCACAACATCTCCAACTTCTGCTGATCCTCAGTCGTATGTTCGTAATCGTACTTATTCAAATCCAGAACCGGTTTGAAGTAGTCCATCAAAATCTGCATCTTGGCTTTGTTTCCGTACACCAGCGCCGCCAAAACTCGCGTTAAATGAACCAAAACCGCCTGATTGTTCCTGACGCTCGGGTGCGTGGTGCACGTCAACAGCGACCGGACGTACTCCGGCCCGCCGAAAGTCTGACTGAACTTGGTGAACTTCTCCAGCGACTCGCTAGTGGCCTTGGAAAGCACGGCCTCCATAATCTAGAAATTTTAACTAAAGTCAGCCCCGCCCTACTCGCATACGCATCATATTACATCTAAAAGTTGTTCGGTCACCGCCGCCTGGCTGGCGTCGGGCTCGCTATCAAGGCACAACTGAAGCGTCCGCAGGAACACCTCCATGGCTCCTAGTTTCGGCTGGATTAGGACCTCCTGGCACTTTACCACCTTGATGCTTAGGCGGAAGAGCTTGAGGATGACCTGGAGGAGGGGTTTGGCCCGCCAGACGTTCTGGATCGCGCCTAAGCGCTTCACCATTACTTCTAGACCGCCGCAGTCGGCTAAGACGTTCGCCATTTTGTAGACCTCTTCGTTGTCGACGGTGCTCTGGGACTTGTTGTTGAGGGTTTCGATGAATTCTTCGGTGGCGTCGCCGAGGAGGCCGCGCATTCGGTAGACGACGCGCATGGCGTCGTGGTCGCCGCCTTCAGCCACCCAGATCTGGGGACAGTGAGGTTTTAGTGGCGGAGCGAGTGGTTAAAAAATGAGTCGTGGATTTTGCCAACATTTGACTCTAAAACCATTGTTTAAGTATATTATAGTTGGACAACTTAATACAAATTTTACTTCGCCTAAATAGTGAGCTTTAGGACAAGGAATCCAGGGGGCGTGGGACAAATTTTTCGTCAACGCGCATTTTCACTACAGTGAGCGAACGTATTAGGTTTATTTTACTCTACTTCAGATGGCGCCATCAAACATTAGCAAAGGCAAACACCCTTCACTCTGCTCTTATACGAGGAGTTATCCATAAATCCATAATTAACATTGTTCCGTAAGGAGTAATGTGTATAGACATATATGTACAAAATATGAAAATATACTTGACATAAAAAATATGAAGCAACGCGTTGTAACGTGATACGAAAGAATTGTATTTAAATGAATTTGACGCCTATTTTTATTTGACTATATCTGAAGACTGACAGAAACTTTCCAAGGGTTTTTAAACTGGTATAATTGTTTAGTTTTATAGGATTTAGTAAAATTTTGATTCGTGATGTTAGAAAAATATTAACACAAAATGAAAATATATATTCAAAGTAAATAATAGAATGACATAAACTTTCGGCGTTGACATTACAAATAATTACAAGACAGAAAAAAAACACGCATGTTTGTAATATCGGGTTGTTAAAGGCTACTTTGAAGACAGTTTGTTTCTATGAAAAACAATTGATGAAATCCGACGTTTTGGTAGATTTTGTTCCAAAAATACGAGATAACTAATTGTTTCTTGAACTAGTTTCCGTAACTTTTAAAATTTAAAAAGGATACGCCATTCTGCTGTAATAAAATCTAGAATAAGGTCAAAATCACACATTACATTACATTACATCTGATTTTGTCAACCACATGAATATAATTTACATTAAAATAAGTTACAGACGTTGTTTGAAATGTTTACTATATTTCGAAAACAAGATAAATAAATAAATAAAATGTGCAGTTTATAAACTTTAAAAATTTATTATAAAAATAATCATGTTTGAAGCTTTATTTTGTCTGTTCCATGTTATTGGGTGTACACTGTACTGGGCCCCTCTGGGGATATAACACCGACATCAGTGCACCGACCCAACGTTCTTCAACCGATGGGATGATTTATTACTTCCGTTATGCTAGCCCTACACAGTGATCTGGTTTTCGGATTTTCGACTAGATCTGCACAGTTAACTCTTTGCGCACTGCACACTGACACAGACACAGAGTATTTTCTTCACGGCAGCATCAAAAATACTACGCCGAAAGCACTTCTTCAAGTGTTAATTTTTTTAAGATGTCATATTTGTCAGCGTTTCCAAAATTTTCCTCTTTGCACAGGTCAACTAATTTTTCGTAAATCGCATTTTAAAATTTTTGTTATTGTATTTTTTACTTTTTAATTTTCTAAGGCATGAAAAAATCCCATATAGGTTTCTATGAATTTATTAATGAAATCAACTGACAACTTGCGCGCCATTTTGTGTTAATTAATATCAATAGTGATTATGATAATTTTAATCCATCTGAATGAAAATCCATCTCCCAAATATTTTACACCGATATAAATTTATTACTTTCTTGGCACAATTTGTAATCCGAAGTCTCCCTCCACATGCAATTTTTCGTCGCCTGAGAACTTGTTTGATCTACAGACCAAACCACACTCAGGCCAATATCGGCTTTAAGCGATTTATTTATAAGTCGACATTCGTTAGAGTTGATCTGATACACATCCACTACGAAGAACTAACCCGTTTCGACCATTGGACTTTACAACGAATAACCGAACAAAGTTCTTGAACATCTTAACGATTTAATGCATAATGTTTCCGAATGACAAAATTTACATTTCAAATTGTATTATCAAATGGTAAAACACTCACCAAAATTTGTCACCAACAATGAAATGACGCAATCTCCAAATTTTACAATACAATATCCTCCGTTTACGGTTTATGCATCCGTGTTGAGTTTTCACCTTGAACGTCATGACTTTTGAAAAAAAAAAATGAACATTTTCCAACTTATAATGTTATTTAAATTTTAAAAAATAGCATAGTCCTGATCTTGTGATTTATAAATACCCTACTGAGACTTTTCGGCTTTTCGATTTCTCGATTTTTCAACTTTAAATGTCTCAATTTTTCAATATTTCAATTTTGGGCTTTTCCAATTCTTCCATTCTTCAAATTTTCCATTTCTCGGTTTTTACTTTTTGGATTTTCAATTTATTGTTAAACTTTAGATTTTTCAATTCTTCGACTGTTTTATACTTCGATTTTTTTTTTCGATGTTTTAATATTTCATTTTTTAAAATTCTAGGTTTTTCGATATCTCGAGTTTTCAATACTTCTATATTTCAATTTTTCAAATTTTTTAATTTTAATTTTCGATTTTTCAGTTTTTCTTTTTCTAAAATTTTTCGATTATTCAATTTTTTTATTTCTCAATTTATTGAATTCAGATGTTTCGTTGTTTTGATTGTTCAGTTTCTCAATTTATCAATTTTTCAATTTTTAACTTTCCTTTTCGACTTACGACTCCTCAATTTCTCGATCGTTCGATTTTTCGATTTCTCGATGTCTCAGTTTTTGAATTTTTCGATGTTTCGATTTTTGGATTCCTCGGTTTCTCGATTTTTTTCTGTAGAGCTTCTCAATTTCTGGATTTTCCAATTTTTTAATGTTCCGATTTTTCAATTTTTTAAATTGAATTGGATTTCTCGATTCTTAAATTTTGCGATATTTTAATTGTTCAATGTTTTAAATTTTAGATTTATCGATTTCTCGATTTTTTGACTTCTCAGTTCTTCAGTATTTAAATTTTTCAATGGAAAAATTTTGACGTTAAATTTTCAGTTTTCTGATTTCTCAAATAATCTATTTTTGATTTTCCCACTTCTTAAAGTTTCGATTTTTCAGTTCTTCAATTTTTCAATTTTTCGACTTCGCTTTATTGGTTTTTCGATTTCTCGATTTTTGGATATTTCTTTCAGTTTTGATATTTTTCAATACTTCGAGATTCTTTGATTTTTCGATCTCTAGATTTTTCGATTTTTTATTTTTGGATTTTCAGTTTTTTTTTATACATTAAATTTTTCAATTTTTCGATTGTTTTATATTTCAATTTTTCAACTTTTCCATATTTTAATTTTTAAATTTCTAGATTTTTCGGTTTCTCGATTTTTCAGTTCTTCAGTTCTTCAATTTTTCGATTATTCAGGTTTTTGATTTTTCAATTTTTCGATTTTTTAAGTTTGCGATTTTTCGACTCTACTTTTTTGACTTTTCAGTTTCTCAATTTTTTAATTTCCTAATTTTTGGATATTTCGTTCAATTTTGTGATTTTTCAGTTTTTCGATTTCTCAATTTTAACTTTTCAATTTTTAAATAATTAGTTTTTTTCGATTTTCCATTTTTTTTTTATTTTTTGATTTTCCAGTTGTTCGATGTTTCGATTTTTGAATTAACCGATTGTTCAATTTCTCGATTTTTAAATTTTAGACTTTCCAATTTTTGTTTTTTTGATTTTTTTATGCTTCGATTTCTCGATTTTACAATTTTCCCACATTTGAATTTTTCCGTAAGGTACCACCACTTCACAGTGAAGCGAGTGAGATGTAAATATATGTTCATTCTTTTCTACATGGGAAAGTGATTCTCCGTATAGGTTGTCCAACTATAATATATGTACTTAAACAATGCTAAAACGATGCCTTGTTTATAACACCAAGTGTGTTTCATTTAGTCACGAACCACTAGCGAAGCGAGTGTTTAAAAAACAAGTCAAGATAAACCACCTACCTTTTTGAAAACATCCTTAACCGGAAGATCCAAGCTAATAATCTTGTTATTAACCAGCAACTCCATCCCGTTATCATCCTCCAATAAGGCAACGAGCTCGCAATCTTGACAAATCTTGTTCTTGACATCCCGCATCAGGGGCCCCAATCCCGGCTCCGAACTCGAATAGGGATTCCCCAACATCCTCCCTTGCAAGAAATCCTCCTGCTGCGGATCCTTCTCCAACGTCAAAAAAAATTCATCCACATCGTTCTCCTCGGGATAAATAATCGAACACAACCTCTCAAAAATGAAGACCGGAGTCAACATATCCTGAACGTTGTGCTTCTCAACAGTCTCGATACACACAGCCATGAAAGATTTGGTTTCTTCTTCAGTCCCCGTGGTCATTTCTTCCAACAGTTCTAGGAGTTTTTCTTGAGTATCGTCGATGAGACGGGTACGCTGGACCACCAAGCGACGTAGAGATAAGTACCCGTTGAGTACGGCACCCACTAGTCGACCTTTGTACTGTCTTCGGATGGCGGTGTCGTCGAGGAACGACGCCAAGAGTTCGGTTAGTTGATTCAAGGCGTAGCCTTGTGCCAAATCCGAAGTCAAAGTCGTAGCTTCTAGGTAGTGCAGTTGTTCGATTTCCATCGTGATCAAGTCGGCGAGAACTACTAATACTCCTTGGATGGTTAAAAACTGCTTCCACGGTGCCTCCTGGATCAAACTTTGGTACAAATTGAGGAACTCGGCGGAGTTCTCACCCGCATTGCCCAACTCCTCCAGGAAGCAGGTTAGAAGTATCAGAATTTCTTTTTTGCGTTCGGGACTATTACACATAAGTTCGACTATACTGCACGCCACCTGGCGTGCCAGGCGCGAACTCGTGTTAAAAAGAACCGACTTAAGCCAGGTTGAGTCGTCTAAGTCGAGTTGGTGCAAACCGCGGTTTTTCTTCATGTTGCGTCGCCACCTCTTGACGTACTTTTCGGTCAAATAGTAGCCACGAATCTCTTTCTTCCCGCTCGGTAGTTCCTTGACGGAGTCGGACTTCTGCGGAAACCGGGCCTTCCAATCGGCGAACGTGTGCCCGGGTTTTTTATCCAGGAATTTGTAGACATCCACGGTGGTACCCGACAGTTCTTTGAAGGTATTGTTTTTGTCTTTAGTTTTTTTGCCACCACCTTCGGGTACTTTGACCATTAACCCTTGCAAGATCTTGAGACAGGGTAGGATTATGGATTCCATGACCAAGGGACTCTTGGAGTTCTGGCAAGCCTTCAGGAATAGTTTCATCATGCAGCGGAGCTTCAGCTCCCAACATTCGTCTTCCTTTTGGACCATCGCCGCGAGTAGAGAGACTTCGTGCCTAACACTGGTACCCAGGTCACTACTGTTCACGTGCTCGTTCAAACTCAACGTGATTCTATCCATCAACAAGTTGCAAAGTTCTTCGGTAGCTTGTAAATTATCACGGGTTAGAACACACAAGAGCTGTTTGACTTCTTCCTGGATTTGGATGCTCCCTTTGCGCAGGTTATTCCAGACGAGTTCTTGGATCAAACCCTTCGAACACAGGATTTCGCGAGTCGTGGGATTGGAAGCCAGGGCTCTCAGTAGGGTCAAGCAATGCTCGGTGGCGGCCGTCGAGCAGCCGTAACAACGGGTATTCACACAATGACTGGGTTCACCTTGCTTGGGCAACGGGGTACTCTTCGGACACACGATATCACGATGTTTGCGATCATAAGCCACTAACTCCTTCCTCGATACCAACACCCTCTGGATGATCTTACTCAACTCTTCGAACGACGTCTTGCATTCGTTGCAATACTGCTGGGCCAACATCTGAATCGTCTTGTTAACTTTAACCTGAACCCCAGTCGTTACAGTCGGTGCACTAGTACTACTCGTGGTACCACTAGTTTCGTCTTGTTTGCGATCAGACCGATGTTCCGTGATTTTCAAAACTAGCGTCTCCAGGTTGGGTTTATTCGCAATCAGTTGTTTGTACACACGGTCAGCTTTCTCCAACAACGAGTTGATGTTGCTCACGGTCTTTTTTCTATCGTCGTCGTTTTCGATCGACTCGATGGCGCAGCAGGGTTTAGCTAGAAGCGTGAAGTCGAACTTCGCATACTTGCAGAAACCGCACGCGTGGCACAAGAACGGGTCCTTCTCGTCGTAGTTGATGGCCCGGCACTTGTGACACTGGAACACGTTCTCGCCGCAGTTCGCGCACACGCCAGGGTTCGCAGGGACCGCGGCGCTGCACCTCGGACACTGCAAAGTCTCGCTCGACGCCTGAATGTTCTCGTAAAAATCGGCGTACTCGATCATCAAATTACACGCGACGATGGGTAGCGGGAACTCGATTTTGACTTCGGTCTGACCCGACTGCACCGCCACCTTTTTGGCTTTGTGCCACAGTGCGGGTTTGTTCTTGAGCTCGACCACAGCCTGCACACTCCTATTATTGTAATAAATGTTAATAGTGCGCACCATTTTGCTCCGTTTCAAGTCACCGATCCTCACCGTTATCTTGCTAATCGTGTGACTGCTCAGCAGTTTCACGATTTGAGTCGTAGTAGTAAATTTAGAGTCGACTTTCAACGAACTTAGTTTGATGGTGGAAAAGGACACTTCTGGGTTGTTACAAACTAGGCACGGCTCCGACTCGAGGTAGTACCCATCCAACTCCACGAACTGACTCATGTGGGCGTACAGATTCGCGTTGGGGTGGTGCGCGATCAGCTCGTTCTGCGCCGTAAGAATACTGACGGCCTTCTCTACATACTCGGTCACTTGCGGTACCACGAAGTTCGTCTGGAAGAACTTCAACGAAAAGTAGCCCAGCAAGTCCACGAACTGTGACGCTTTTCGCCCGAAATTAGGAATCAAGGGCCAGAGTTGCCACAGCAACTCGAGCAGTGACTCTTGCTCACCGGGCTTCGAGTTTTTATAAATCGCTAAAATCAAGGTGTGCGCTTGCCAGCGCACACTCGTCGTGTTCGTCTCCAACATGAACGTTTTGATGAATCTCGCGAATACCTCTTTGGATACTTGTTTGTTGATTTGGTCTACCAACGCCACACAATTCGCTTCTTCGAAGAGCGCCTCGGCGGCACTGTCGTCCGATTTCTCCCGCTCCTTCCTCGAGGTACTCTGTTTGGTACTTTCGCTCGGTTTCTTGTTACCGGCGATCGCGCATTGCAACAAATGTAGAATAGTCGGGGCGACTCCTTCGTCTAACAAACAACTCATTTGGATCAAGAATGGCAAAATCGTGTCTTGTTGCATGCAAAACCGCTGCCAGTTCCCGGTACGGTTGACCGCGATCTCCACACAACTCTTCAAGTGTTCAACTAGGTCGACGAGAATGTCGTACGGGAGGGATAAGGAGTGGTGGACCTCCTGGACGGACTCGTACCCACCGCGGACACAACAGTCGATCACGCCTTTTAGGTGCTTGTTCAAGGCGTGGAGGTCACGGTGGTACCGGTACTTCTCCTTGTTGCCACAAATGAAGAGGAGCAGTTTGCGGACTTGGCGTCGGACCGAAGGCACCTGCGACGTCATCATGTACTCGCATAGATATTGGTACCACGAGTCGTCGAACGCGGTATTAATAGGCTCGGTGATCTCCGAATACTTGTGGACTTGGTAGGGTAAGCGCAAGGCCATTTCGGTAAGGATTTCTGGATAAGTACTGAAAAAGTCGGGTCCGTTTTCCTTGACGAATTGCTTCATGAAGAACGGGGTCATGTCTGGGGGTGACCGGGTCGAGTGTTCCTTGAGTAAATTACCACTAACGGTACTCTTAGTGTCTTCAGGGGAGGTGGAAGTCCAGTACGACAAAAGCGACTCGAGCAAACTATTACAATAACTGATGATGTTAGCTTTGTGGAGTACCGTAGCTGTGGTGCGCGAGACGAAGGTCGAGTTGTCTACCGCGACAGTCTTACTGGTTGACGGAGCGGTACTACCGCTACTCGAGGTTTTGCAGCGGCCCATAAACACACTCAAGAGCTTCATCAACACTAACTGTACCTCCTTCTGGTTTGACCTGGTACAAATCTCCTTGACGTTTGGTTTGTTCAACTGCAGCTCGATAATGATAGCCGCTAGGAGCGAATTAAAACACGCCCTATCCCTCTCCGAGTGACCATCAAGATCACTGGTCAACTGAAGCACGACTTGCAAAAAAGGTATAGCCCTCACCCCATCCACGTTTCTCAATTTAGGTAAATACTCGGTCAGTCTTTCCAACAACTGTAGCCTCAACACATGCAACCTGCTACTATTCTCGGAGTCCGTTTCTGTGTCCACCTCGGGTGGTAAATTATCACTTTCGGTACCTTGGAAATTGGGGTTGGCTACGGAACTCGTATCCGAGCGCGACACGATTGGTAACGACTCCGGGATATTGTCACCGTACGCCGAACTTCTACCAGACACGTTATGTTCACCCGTGATACTCTCCACACCACTGCCCCCACTCTCGGAACCCGCGGCACTCCCCCCTTGCTCCGCCGGTGACGTTCTAAGGGTCGACCCGTCCGTCGCCGCCGTACTTCCTTCATCGTCCGATCCCGCCGCACTCGCCGTCGTGTCACTGAAGTGTCCGCCTTCCTGCGCCTGCGCCGCTTGCCCCACTTGAGCCACTTGCGCCAGTTCTTCGTTGCTAAGCACTTGTAAGCCTCCTGCGCCGATGTCGTGCTCCTGCAAACTCAACGCAATCGCCAACTCGACCATGGTCTCATCGTCTGCATCCGGCGGTATGTCCAACAAGGGTTGGTACCCGCCCGCCCCCCCTAGTAGCGCTTCCAACGCATTCACATTATGGTTGTCGCTACCTTGGATGGGTTGCTGCAACAACGCGATGGCTTCGGCAGCCCCCACTTCAAACGGTCTTCCAGAGTCCTCCGGGGGCTTATCCACACTATCACTCTTGGAGCTAGCCGGTGGGGTCGAGCAATGAGGCGGACTCGGGATGAACACCCTCCTACGTCTCACCTTCGGCTTCAATACTTTACTGAGCGCCTGCTTCGCACTAAACGCAATGGCCGGATCCTTACACAACAACAACTGGAGGTAGACGGCCATAGTGATGTTACTGTAGGTATCACAGCTGTTAAAAGCGTGCACGATTTCCACGAGCGCGTGGATGACCTGCTCGGTGTGTTTGAGTCCGGGGACCACCACCGGTGCCAAGTTCGGGTTTTCGGGGTTCAACGCGTGCAAAATCCACAGCACGTCCATGAGTTTTAACAGGAGGTGTTGGGATTTTTGGGGCTTGGAGGTGGTGGGTTTCGGGTCGAGAGGGTCGTCGAGGACTATGTCTTGAATGCTGGTGTGCGAGTCGGAGAATTTTACCAGGTTCTGGGGACGGGACACCGCGATTCCGCGGACGATGAGTATGAGGCGGTAGAAGCTTTCGGCGTCGATTTCTTTGGTGTCGGAGTCGGTCATGGCGTGCAGGCTGGTTAAGACGTGTTGGAGGAGGGCTTGGTCTTTGTAGTTGTGGTAGAGTTGGCGAGAGGAGTGGAGGGAGGATAGCAGGGCTTTTGAGTGGATTTGGATGAGGGGGGGAGTGGGTAGGGTTAGGAGTTGTGTGGCGATTTTTAAGGTGGGTTGTTTGTATTTGTCTTCGACTGAGTAGAGGGAGAAGGCGCCGTCTAGAGCTTCCAAAATGCCAACGACGACCCTGAAAATGAGGTAGAAAAAGGTAAGTTTGTTGATAGGTTATCGCGGTGTCTAATGAGCTGTGTTTCGATAAATCTCGCTTCTTTGAAAAATTATAAAAATGTTGCCGCTTTTCTTTTCAATTTTTCGAATTTTTAAGTTTAAATTTTTCAGTTTTTAATTTTTCAAATTCTGAATGCTACATTTTTTGTAATTTTTGCAATTTTTAGATTTGAGTTTCTTAAGGTTTCAATTTTTAGTTTTTCGATTTGCAATATTTTCTTCAATTTTTCAATTTGCGACTTTTCCATTTTTCAGTTCCTTTTTTTTTCGATTTTTGGATTTTCCAATTTTTCGATTTTTCATTTTACAATATGCAATTCTTCGAATTTGCATTTTTACGTTTTTCAGTATTTCCGATTTTTCAACTTTTGTATGTTTCAATTTTTCGATTTTTATTTTTTCAATTTGCAGTGTTTTCTGTATTTTTTCAATTTCTCGTTTCTTCAATTTTTAATTTTTTTGTTTCTTCAATTTGACGATATGCAACTCTCGAAATTTTCATATTTTTCGATTTTTCACGAGTTTTGATTTTTTAATTTTTTAATTTTTCGATTCAGATTTTTTCAATTTTCCGATTCTCCAATTATTCACTTCCTCAATTTTTCATTTCTTCAAATTTTCGATTTGCAATTTTTCGTTTCGGTTTTTTATTTTCTTCATTTTCACAATCTTTCGATTTTCGTTTCTTCAATTTTTCATTTCTATAATTTTTTCCGATTTTACTAGATGCAACTCTTCGAGTTTTCATTTTATAATTTTTCAGTTTTTCGATTTACAATTTCACGAGTTTTCAATTTTTAATTTTTCGAATTTTCAGTTTATTTCTTCATTTTTTTTTATTTTTCAGTTTACCATTTGTTCAATTTTTCGTTTTTCCAATTTCTCCATTTGCAATGTTTCTTTTAGGCTTTTAATTATCTTTATTTTTTCAAGGTACTACATATTTATATAATTTTTCTTTTATTTTTCAAGTTGAAATTTTTCAATTTTGGAATTTTTCAATTTTTCTGCTTTTAGATTTGTTAATTTTTCGATTTTTCAGTTTCATGATTTTTCAAATTTTCGTTTCTTCAATTTCAAATTTGCCATTTTTCGAGTTTCCATTTAAAGTATGTAATAATAATTTTAAAAATATTTCACTTTTCAATTATTGGATTTTAAAATTTTTTCATTCATTCGTCTTTTCGATTTTTGGATTTTCCAATTTTTCGATTTTTCATTTTACAATATGCAATTCTTGGAATTTGCATTTTTACGTTTTTCAGTATTTCCGATTTTTCAACTTTTGTATGTTTCAATTTTTCGATTTTTATTTTTTCAATTTGCAGTGTTTTCTGTTTCTTCAATTTGACGATATGCAACTCACGAAATTTTCATATTTTTCGGTTTTTTTCGATTTTTTAACTTTTCTGTTTTCTAATTTTTCGATTTAGATTTTTTCAATTTTCCGATTCTCCAATTATTCATTCCCTCAATTTTTCATTTCTTCAAATTTTCGATTTGCAATTTTTCGTTTCGGTTTTTTATTTTCTTTATTTTCACAATTTTTCGATTTTCCAATATTCCGATTTTATAATTTGTTGGTTTTTCGTTTTCGTTTCTTCAATTTTTCATTTCTATAATTTTTTCCGATTTTACTAGATGCAACTCTTCCGAGTCTTCATTTTATAATTTTTCAGTTTTTCGATTTACAATTTCACGAGTTTTCAATTTTTCATTTTTCGAATTTTGAGTTTATTTCTTAATTTTTTTATTTTTCAGTTTTCGATTTCTTCAATTTTTCGTTTTTTCAATTTCTCGATTTGCAATGTTTCTTTTCGGTTTTTAATTATCTTTATTTTTTCAGTGTTCTAATTTTATGATTTTTCTTTTTTTTTTCAAGGTGAAATTTTTCGTTTCTTCAATTTTTGGTTTCTTCAATTTTAGAAGCAATTTTTTTAGTTTTCGTTTAATACATCTTATAATTATAATTTAAAAAAAATGTAACGTTAAATTTTTTTCATTTCTTCAAATTTTCGATTTGCATTTTTTTTTCGCTTTTATTTTCTCAATTTTTACGATTTTTTGATTTTTGAATGTCCCGATTTTGTGCTTTTTTAATTTTTTAAATTTCAAATTTTTCAACTTTTCGTTTCTTCAAATTTTCGATTCGCACTTCCACGGGTTTTCAATTTTTAGTTTTTCAATTTTTGATTTGCAATTTTTCTAGTTTTACGATTTTAGAATTTTTCGATTCGATTCGTTTTTTCTTCTTGCCAATTTTTCCATTCACTAAGTTTTTAGTTTTTTAAGATTTTGGATTTTTAGTTTTTCAACGTTTCAATTTTTTGAAATTTTTCGAGTTTTCAATTTTTTCCGATTTTTTAGTTTCTCGATCTTCCAATTCTTCGATTTTTCGACTTTTCTATTAAAAAAAATGGAAAATCAACCGAATTTTCAATAACCTGAAAAATTGTGAAACTTAAAAATAAAAAAAAAACAAATAATGAGGACTAAAGAAACCAGAAAATCGGACAACTGGAAATCCAAAAATTGCAAAATTGGAAAATTTAATAAACGAAAAATTGAAAAGTTTATTAACATTTCATTATAATTCAGAGAGGATTTACTAGGTACAATTTTGATAATTTTTCTATAAATTTTAATTTCCGTCGTAGCACCTAAGTTATTATAAACCGTGTTCATTACTCACTTTTCGAGTTTAGTAAGCGGGGTGACGTTCGTCTGTTGCGTCTCCTGGTCAGTGGTCACCGTATTCAACGCCTGGGTATTAGGACCACTCCCCGTATTAACCGCTTCTTCAGTTTCTTCAGGCCATCCGAAAGCGTCCTTGGTTTTGCCGTACCTAGACACAACCCAACCGTCAATTTCAACGCTACTCGCCACATTTTAGTGACTTACACTTTAATACTATCCACCATGGTGAGGGTCTCTGGGTCTTGAGAAGGCCCGAACATGATGGTGAGCTTCTTGTCGGCTTGCAGACTTTCCTCTCTTGAAAACGGGATATCGTACCAGCGCCCTCTGGTCACAGTCAAGGTAATAATCCTCCCGAACACCTCCACGAAAGACGGCGCTTTTTGGACATCCTGACTCCCGACTAACACCCGAATTCCTACCATCACCAGGTTCGAGTCCGGGTTGGACACTTCAACCGTGAACCCTAGTGGCTTATTACACGCGACGTACAACCCAGTGGCGTTCAGACGATGCTTGAGCTGCGCTACGTTATAGATTTGGAGAAGATCATTCCCCCCGATTTCGACGTCGTTCATGGCTGAACAATGCTCAAAAAAGTCCACCGGGAAGGTCACCGAGCCGGTACTTTTCCCCGACTTGACCACCTTTTTCTTCTTCGGTTTTAAAGTGGTACTGGTAATGGTGGGCTGGATCGTCGGCGACATCCAGAACCCGGTTTGGTCCATGTTCGCGATGCTCATTTTAAGACTGCCGTCTTCACATAGGAGCATCAAGGTAGTCCGCAGTTCGTTACCCGAGTAGTGTCTTATAGCTACCATGTCCATGATCTTGGTTTTGGGTGGTACCGTCTTCACTTCTTGGATGAGAATCGCGTCGGGTTTGATCATGAGGATCACCGGGTTGTTGCTGGATTGCATAGCGCAGCAGACGAGACCCGGGTGATTCGGGATTTCGGTCCATTGACATAAAGGCTGGGCGGTGGCGTTACGTGATCCGTTACTTTTAGTACTCGACGTGGTGGTGGGTAAAGTGATGGGGAATACCATGGTCAGACAATTATTCTTGGGGGTTATGGGTGAAATGAAGCTTCTACCTTGGACGTAACTGTAGAATAGTAGCCCTAGTGTGTGTGAATAGTAGATACTGACACCCCCACCGGCCACTTGGCCGTTAACATCGGTGACGTCCAAATGGAACACTTCGAGGGTGTTCGTGACGTAAAAGGACCCATGTTTGGCGGAACTGTCCTCATTGAGGACCTCGGTGTAGATGTGACCCGGCGACGACATTAACAAAATGTGGTAAGTCCCGTCCTCGTACATGAAAGTACAGTCGCGGATTTTGCCACTGGGTACTAAAAAGTAGTACTGGGGACTTAGCGCATCTTTACCTAGGTCGTAGATTTTGACGAAGTCGGCGGTCACTAAAGCCAATTGGGTTTGTGAGCCGGGTAACCATACCGCTTTGATGATAAAATTCCCCGTTTCCAACTGCGGGTGTAAAACTAAGTGATCGGAGACCGACCCGCTGGATGTAAACGTCAATACGTGGCAGTCTTTTAGTCCACACACTGCGAGAAAATCTTCGTTACACAAGTTGCTCGATAGTGATAATACAGTGAACGGGATCGGTGCTGACCCCAATTTTGACAGGGTTAGTTTTCGGGTGGACGAATCGTTTTGCTTGAGCAATGCGCTGAGTTGAAGTACCGTGATTTTGCCTTTCTCGTGTGACACGGCGAGGTGTTGGCGACGCCCGTGAGTCGACGTCATGCAACACATGGCGACGCGTCTGATTATATGGGCTGACAGTAGTTGTCTGATGGTCTGACCCTGTTCACCCGCGTAGCTCATTCTCACGTTTTCAAAAGCGCCCTCTTGCGAACCCACCGTCCCTAACATGAGTTGGTCAGTGTGGAGGTACTTCTTTTCACCTGAGTGTAACGCCTGTAGCGCCTGCATCGCCCGCGAGTAACAACCAACAGGCGAGTTCTGCCCGCACGTCACTTCCACTGAACCCATCAACGAGTTAACCAAGTCAATCAAGTTTCGCGTGACGGTACTACTACTCAAGTAGGTGACAATCCAGTCTTTGCTCCCTTGGAGTTGCTTGACGTTCACGTGTTTGCGTTCGCGGTACTTGAGTTTGTCGAGGACTGGACTTGAGGCGCGTCTGCGCAACGAACTTGTTAGTTGGTCCGAGGAGAAGTTCGTGGTGGATTCCGTCTGAGGTGGTACTTGACTGTCGGTGGTTTGGGACCTCTTCACGAGCGCTTGACACGAACTATCCTCCTTCGCACCACAATCGCAAAAAAAGTTCCCGTATTTGGCGTAGCTCAAATCGTGACCTTTATGACATACCCTTGCGCAGACCGAACAGACTCCGACTCCATCCAGCATGCGACACGTGTGACAGTGGTACCAGTGCTGGTTCATGAACTCCTTCTGAGTTATCGTGAAAGTACACAACTTGTTACTGAGTGAGTCTTCGTCTGAGTCCTCGCCACTATCTTCCTCGTCGTTGTTGTCTTCTTGCCACTCCGAGTCTAAGTCGAGCGGGGTTTCCCCTTCCCATGGTGGACTCAGCGGACGAAAACTGGTACCCGCGTTCTGGTTGACGATTCCGTTGACCACGTCACTAATATAGTCCAAGATACAGCAAGCCGCGTCCAACATGACACTAGTTTTCACACTTTCCACCTGGATTTCTTTCTGGGATACGTACTTGTTGCACAACTCCACCCAGTCGGAGGTGGCCGGGAACAGACAAGTGTGACCTTTGCCGCTGCCGGCGTCCGCCAACATCGTCATGACCACCATCAAGTCGGTGAACCCCACACCTTCGATCGTGGGTGTCAAAATATGCGACCCCAAAGGAATCAGCGCTTTTAAAATAGTCAAAGCGACGTCCTCACACACATTACTATTCTGTTTAACAATGAACGAAGTCAAAGCTTGTAGTAGTTGACTGTTTTCTTGGATCAGCGACCTCTGTTCTTCGGACGGCGCCTCACTCACTTGCGTTATCTTCCACTTGCTGTCCTTCGAACTCTGGCCTTTGGTGATCGTGACCGTAGTAGCCGCCGGCGGCTTACTCGAACCGATGATAATTTGCCTCAGCCACGTCTGGAGCTTACTTAACTCAACATTAGCCAACTTATTCATACTACTACAAAGATAGTTCAAACTCGGGTCGGTCGAGCTCTTCTCCGCCGCTTGAAATAGTTTGTTGAAAAATTGCAACACTCTAGTGCTGTACTGTTGCGACATTTGCGGACTCGACACACTCATCAAAACCTTCACCAAGTCTTTATCGCTCGTGAAGAAGCTCTCCAAAGCTTGTCTCCCCGACGACTTTTCTATAATCTTCTCGTAAAACTTGAGACAATTGTGGAGGACTTGTTCGTTCAAACTCGAATCGGTGTCAGCGGTGTGATTAATAATCAAACGATACGTATGATGTAGCACTTGCAAGTAGACTCGTTTCTGGTGTTCGTCGGTTTCCGTATCCCCGATCATCTTGTCGAGCGTCTTCGACACAGCATCGTGCAAGTATTCGGTCCTCAAATCCAGCGTGATGCTCACCAACATCTCTATCGCTTTGTTTTTCGTGTCGGTGTTCTCTATTTTCGGGGCGTGGTCACAGATGAATTTGACATAGCTTTGAAGGAAGCGACGCAGAGATAGGTTGATGGTGAAAGGGCTGTTCATTGATAGTGTGGAGATGTGAGTGTCGACGATTTTTAGGATGTAGCTTTCTGAAGGGATTATGTCGTTTTGGTAGGCGGACTGCAAATGAAACGCGTTTTGTTGGTTGGAAAAGTGTGTAAATGGGGGAACTACTCACCGATGAGAAGTCTTCTAGGGTTGAGTTGTTCCATTGTTGTTGGACGGTGGTTACAGTCGGTGGTAGGAGCGAGATGAGTTCGGATGAGAGGGTGTTGGTTAAAGGGTTGCGGTTTGATGCTATTGATAGTACGTCCTGTAAGCTGTCGTAGTTGTGTTCGGTGCTTTTGGTGACTCCGCCTTCGCCTTGTTCGACGATTGTATGCAGCAGGGACCACCTAAACAACGACGTTCTAACTAATTTTTTGAGGTTTGAATGTGACATATTTAACTTTGAGGAAAATGGTATTGGTTGAAGGTTATTTTTGTTGTAATTCAATATATTAATTAAGGCAAAAATTATTACGACTATATCCCATACATTCTCTGTTTAGCTTACTGTTAAGTATTTGTTTATAAAGGGCGATAAATGTAAGGCGCCCGAGAAACGCTGAGTACTTCAGTTTATATTTTATATATGCGTATTTGTGATCTTAAAAGTTAGTTCGTAATAAGCTTTTAAAACGAACGGATCGCATTTTTAATACACGCACTTTAAGGACAATTGTGTTTTAATTAACCCATTTCCTAGAGGTTATGGGCCCAGTCTACGCGTAAAGTGTGTGTATATCGTGTTACGTGCCGGCGCGACAAACGAAATAAACTGAAAATGGATAACACACGTGTAAAGCGAAATAAACAATCGTTTAAGGGTGAAAAGTATAGTGTGTGGAAATTTAGAATTCGGGCATTGTTGGCTGAGTTGGAAGTGCTACATGTCATAGACAGTGCCGTACCACCAGTGATTGCAAATGAGTGGAAGAAACAAGATTTAACAGCGAAAAATGTCATCGTAGAATATCTCCACGACTCGTTTCTTGATTTTGCGAAAGAGAATGAACAAGCACGAGAGATACTATCCAAACTAGACAATATCTACGCAAGAAGAAGTTTGGCAACTCAGTTGGCGTTAAGAAAACAACTATTAAGCCTAAAACTCCAAGGCGATAACACCTTATTCCAACACTTCACCCGCTTCGATGTCATCATTGCAGATTTAGTTGCAGTCGGAGCCGTGTTAGAAGAGATGGACAAAGTGCCCTATCTACTCTTGACGTTACCGTCCTCTTACGACGGAGTAATAACTGCATTAGAAACCCTGGGAGCGAACAATTTAAGCCTGGCCTTAAGAACGAGCAGTTCTTATTCATCGCAGAGACCCAGTGGGAGTCAAAATAACTTCAAAAGCGTACGAAATACGAAGAAATTTTTCAAAAGAAGGGCACAAAAATTTTGACAAACATCCTCTTCGAAATCTTACTATAAATTATCACATATGAAATGTGAACACTGTGGCCGACGCAATCATCAAAAGGGTGACTGTTATTATTATAAACAGGTGTTGACAAAGCAAGAACAAAATCCAGGTGATAAACAACCACCACAATCAAAGCTTGCGAACACCGACCACTTTGCCTTCATGATGACTGGCTGTGATGAAAATCTACAAAACGACACCCCTACCAGCGTCGTTTTCATTCTCGATTCGGGAGCCACGGACCATATAGTCAACAGAGATGACGTTTTTACCTCCTGGTCTGTTTTGTCACCGCCACTACAGGTTGCTGTTGAGAAAACCGGCGAATTCATGACGGCGACAAAGCGTGGTCTAATCCAGGTTACCACCACGTTAGGTTTTACTGGAACCTTGCAAGACGTGTTATTTACACCCCAGGCTACAACCAACTTACTATCCATTCGTCGAATTCAAGAGAGTGGTATGAAAGTGGTATTTGATCAGGGTGTTCAAGTACAGGATAAGACGGGTAAAACAATATTAAAAGGTAAGACATATAATGGTTTATTTGGTGTGAAGTTTAGAATTAGTAAAAACATGACCGAGAGTGGAAGTACATTAATGGTCAGAAATAGCGACAATTTTCGTTTATGGCATGAACGTTTAGGCCATATTAGCAACGGCAAATTTCAACAATTAAAACGTTGTCAAATGGCTGATAATATGTCTGATTTAAATAAAATCATGCCCATTAATGACCTTTGTGAAGCTTGTCTATATGGAAAACAAGCAAGACTTCCATTTAACAAAAACAAAAATAAAAGTCATGTGAAAAGGCCCCTATATATTGTCCATACGGATATATGCGGCCCAATTACACCATCAACATTAAGTTGTCAAAATTATTTTGCTTCCTTTATTGATGATTACACTCACTATACAGTTACATATTTATTAACGTACAAATCAGAATTATGTAAAGTTTTTAAAGACTTTGTAGCTAAAAGTGAGACACATTTCTCTCTCAAATTAGAAAACCTCTACTGTGACAATGGAGGTGAATATTTATCTAATGAAGTAAAGGAATTTTGTTTAGAAAAAGGAATAGCATTCCATTTAACGGTTCCTCATACACCACAACAAAATGGCGTAGCAGAACGTATGAATCGTACAATAACCGAAAAAGTACGATCAATGTTAAGTTCTGCAGATCTTGATAAGTCATTTTGGGGTGAAGCAGTTCCAACTGCTACATATCTTATCAACAGAACCCCGACAAAAGCGCTCAACACAAATAAAACGCCATATGAAATGTGGCACAATCGAAAGCCACAATTAAATCATTTAAAGGTGTTTGGTTCAACAGCAAATAAGCATTTAAAAACAAGAAAACATAAATTTGATAATAAATCAATAAAAGGAATTCTTGTAGGCTATGAACCATAAAATAAATATGGGATGTTCATGGTAAAAAATTTATAATTGCTCGCGATGTGGTCGCGGACGAAATAAATTTTAAAGTCTTAAGACCAAGAGAACTAGAAGGAGATCTTGAAAGTTTTAAATCTCCTAATCACAATGAACTTCCCATCAATAAAGGTGAGTCACCAAAAGTCATAAAATCAACTGAGGAACCAAAACAAGAGATTTCATTACGCAGAAGTGAACGGTTAAAAATTCGTCCACCACTATCATATGATGAAAGTCATCATAATGAACTCCTAAATTACGCTGCATCAGCTCAAGCTGAAGTAGGGTCGTTACCCTTAACATATGACGACATTAAAACAAGGCCAGATAAGAAGCAGTGGGAGCTTGCTATTAAAGACGAATTGGGTTCACTTCGAGCAAATAATACCTGGACAATCGTACCTAAACCTCTAAATAAAAACATAGTTAGCTGTAAAAGGATTTTTACTATTAAAACAGATGTTCAGGGAAATCCACAAAGGTACAAAGCGCGACTGGTAGCACGGGGTTTCGGTCAAACTTATCCAGCTGATTATACAGAGACTTTTGCACCAGTTGCAAGGATTTCCACTTTCAGGCTACTGTTAGCAATTGCCAATCAGTTTAATTTGTTAGTCCATCACATGGACGTAAAAACGGCTTTCTTAAACGGAACATTAAATGAAGAAATTTATATGCAAGTTCCGGACGGTGTTAAAACTGCAAACAATCAGGTGTGCAAATTAAATAAAGCGTTATATGGTCTAAAACAGGCGTCAAGACGGTGGTTTGAACATTTTGACTCCATAATTAAAGCAAAAGGTTTTCAAAATTCAGCAGTCGATCATTGCCTTTACTACTCAAATAAAGGACACGTTAGTAAAAATATTTATATTGTATTATATGTAGATGATTTAATAATTGCCACACAGGATAAATACACAATGTTCGCCTGTAAAAAATATCTCATGACATGTTTTGAAATGAGAGATCTAAATGAGGTTCGATTCTTTTTAAGGAATAGAAATTAAAAGGGAAAACACTAGAATGTCTTTAAACCAAAAGTCCTACTAGAACGCTGTGTCACAAAAATTTAATATGAGTGACTGCAAGTCTACTAAAACGCCCTTGCCGGAAAAAATTGATTATGTGGGCTTAAATTCAGAGGAAGGTTACAATGCACCTTGTAAAATCTGATTGGGTGTTTAATGTACGCAATGGTTTGCACACGTCCTGATTTGTCATATGTAGTAAACATCTTAAGTCGATATCAAACAAAATAATCAAACTTTATGGCAATATTTAAAGAGGGTATTACGATATGTCAAAGGAACTCTTGATTTAGAATTAATATATACAAAAGGTGACATTAATAATATTTTAATTGGCTATGTGGATTCAGATTGGGGAAGCAATGACATTGACCGGAAAAGTACAAGTGGCTATCTTTACAAATTATTCACTACTTGTACTATAACCTGGAATACTAGAAAACAACAAACAGTTGCAGTTTCATCAACTGAAGCTGAATACATAGCATTATTTGAAAGTGTAAAAGAAGCTATGTGGCTTAAGTCTTTGTTAACTAGTATCGGTATAAGGGCTCTAAATCCAGTTGTCATTTTTGAAGACAACATCGGGTGCATAAACATTGCAAATAACCCCACAAATCACAAAAGGTCAAAACATATAAATATTAAATATCATTTTACGAGAGAGCAACTTGAAAAAGGCAACATAACCATTAAATATGTCTCCACAGGTGAACAACAAGCTGACATCTTCACCAAAGCGGTACCTGTTGCAAAATTTAAAGCAATGAGAAATAACATTGGCTTACAATAGGGACGCTTTTGTAGTTAAGAATAATTATCTTCAGCTATATACTTGGTAACAAAATCAAGATACCTGTATTTACTTCGTCGTTTCAATTTTTGAGTGGGAGTGTTGTAATTCAATATATTAATTAAGGCAAAAATTATTACGACTATATCCCATACATTCTCTGTTTAGCTTACTGTTAAGTATTTGTTTATAAAGGGCGATAAATGTAAGGCGCCCGAGAAACGCTGAGTACTTCAGTTTATATTTTATATATGCGTATTTGTGATCTTAAAAGTTAGTTCGTAATAAGCTTTTAAAACGAACGGATCGCATTTTTAATACACGCACTTTAAGGACAATTGTGTTTTAATTAACCCATTTCCTAGAATTTTGACAGAACTTCCCTCGTGCATAAAGTGTTTCTTTGAAAAATTATAAATATTTTTCGCCTACCTCTAATTCCAGGGGGACGCGGTTCGTACAAGTACAGTCAATATATAATATATTTAAACTAGATAACCAATGGGAAAAAGTCCTTTTCGAAAAATCGGGAAACTGAAGAATGTAAAATCGAGAAATACTAAAATTGAACTGAGAAAACTAGTGAAGAAGTCGAAAAATTAAAAATCAAAAATTTTGAAAATCGAAAAATTGAAAAACCGAATAATCAAAAAAAAGAAAAATTAAAAAAATTGAAAAAAATAAAAATCCAAGTTATAAAAATCGCACAATTTTGAAAAATCGGAAAAGTAAAAACTCAAAACTTCGAAAAGTCAAAAAATTGAAATATCAGAATTGCCAGAATTGGAAAATCTCAAAACTGAAACATGGAACACTTGAGAGATCGAAAAATTAGGAACTCGAAGAGACGAAAAACCGAAAAGGCGAAAAATAAAAAAAAACACCAAAAATTGAAAAATTGAAGAATGGAAAAATTGCAAGATAGTAAAACTGAAATATAGGAAAAATAGAAATCGAAAAATTGAAAAAAAAAAAATGGAGAAATCGAAAAATTGAAAAATTAAAATGGCCCAAAATCCAAAAATTCAAAATTGAAAAAAATTGAAATATCGAAATCTCCCGATAAATGGAAAAATTAAAAAATTTAAAAATAGAAAAATTTAAAATTGAAAGATCGAGAAATTGAGAAGTGGAAAAGTCGAAAAATTGAGAAATCGAAATGGCCCGAAATCGAAAAAATCAAAACTGAGAAATTTTGACTTTTTTGAAATTGAAAAATCAAAAAAAATTTTAGAAATCGAAAAATCAGAAATTTTTTTTCAAGAAATCGAAAAATCCCAAAGCAAGGAAGCAACAAAAAAAACTAAAAATCAAGATATTGAAACAAAAATCCAAGTTTTAAAAATCGCACGAAATATAGGAAAAATAGAAATCGAAAAATTGAAAAAAAAAATGGAGAAATCGAAAATTCGAAAAAATAAAAAACTAAAAAATTGAAAAATCTAAAACCAATAAGATAAAAAATCCAAAGATCTAGAAATCAAAACATCAAAATATCAAGTAAACGAGAAGTGAAGGAGTCGAAAAATCGAAAATTCGGAAAATTGAAAAAAATCGAAACATCGAAATCTCCCGATAAATGGAAAAATTAATAAATTTAAAAATAGAAAAATTTAAAATTGAAAGATCGAGAAATTGAGAACTGGAGAAGTCGAAAAATTGACAAATCGAAATGGTCCGAAATCGAAAAAATCAAAACTGAAAAATTTTGACTTTTTTGAAATTGAAAAATCAAAAAAAATTTTAGAAATCGAAAAATCAAAAAAAAAATTTTAGAAATCGAAAAATCCCAAAGCAAGGAAGCAACAAAAAACGAAAAATTAAGATATTGAATCAGAAAAATCCAAGTTTTAAAAATCGCACAATTTTGAAAAATCGAAAAAGTAAAAACTCGAAACGAAACATGAAAAACTTGAGAGATCGAAAAATTGGGAAATCGAAGACGAAAAACCGACAAATCGTAAAAAAAATCGATTAATCGAAAATTAAAAAAGTCACAAATCGAAAAATTGAGAAATGGAAAAATAAAAAACTTGAGAATTGGAAAATTCTAAAAATCGAGCAATTGAAGAGTCGACAAATCGAAACATTAAAATTTTAAAAAATCATAAAATTGAAAAACCAAAAAATTAAAAATCTAAATTTAAAAATTCGAAAATCGAAGAACTGAAAAAGCGAGAAATCGGAATATTTAGAATTTAAATTTAAAAAAACAGAAAATTTTGGAAAAATCGAAAAAGTAAATAATTAAACAATCGAGAGATGAAAACATCAAAATATTGAAAAATTTTAAAAATCCCAAAATTTTAGAAAACTGAAAAGGTAAAAAATCGAAAAGTCGAAAAATTTAAATCTTGAAAAATCACAAATTTAAAAATCCCTAAACGGAAACATCGAAAACATGAGAAATAGAATAAATTGAGAAATCGAGAAATTAGAAAGACAAAAAATCGATTAATCGAAAAAAAAAGTCAAAAATTGAAAAATTGAACAATAGAAAAATTACAAAATAGTAAAACTGAAATGTACGGGAAATGAGAAATCGAATAATAAAAAAATCCAAACTTCGAAAAATTGAGAAATCGAAAAATTGAAAATGGAGGAAATCGAGACAAGAAAACATTGACATATTTTAAATTTAAAAAATCGCAAAATTTTGGAAAATCGAAAAAGCAAAAAATGAAAAAGTCGAAAAATTGAATCTTGAAAAATCCCAAAATTTAAAGATCCTTAACTAATACATCGAAAACTTAAGAAACAGAATAAATTGAAAAATTGAGAATTCGGAAAAACAAAAAATCGAAAGGCCAAGAAATCAAAAAATCGATTAATCGAGAAATTGAGAAATCCGAAAATTTAGAAACGGCAAAAAAAGAAAAATTGTGGAATCTGAAAAATCCCAAATTTGAAATATCGAAAAACTGAGTAATTGGAAAATCGAAAAACCAAGAAACTATAAAATCCCAACACTAAAATGACGAAAAATGAAAAAAATCGCGAAATTGAAACATCAAAGGATCAGGAAACCGCAAAATTGAAAAAAGGAAACATCAATAAATCGAAAAATTTAAAAACCAAAAAAATGAATAATCGAAAAATCAAAAATTGTAAAAGTCGAAAAATTGAAAAACCGACGAATTTAGAAGCGAGAAGGTGAAAAATCGAATGATCGAGACATATTTTAAAAATCCCAAATTTGGAAATCGAGAAACTGAAAAGTCGAGAAATCAAGACATCGAAAATTTGAAAACTTGAAAAATTTAACAGTTTAGAGACGGCAAAATTTAAAAGAACCACACATGTAATAACTCAAAAAATCGAATCAAAAAATCCCAAAACGGACAGATCGAAAATTGGAAAAATCGAAAAATCTCAAAAATTAAATGTCCAAAAAATGAAAAATTGTAAAATTGGAAAATCGAAAAATCAGAAAACCGAGAAATGGAAACAAGATTGAGAAATCGATAACTCGAGAAATCGAAAAATCCTAAAATTCAAAGTTGAAAAAATTTAAACCTAAAGAACCGATGATTCGAAAAACTGAAAAATTGAGAAATGAAAACAACAAAAAACCGAAAAATTTAAAACAAAAAAAAATCGGAAAGACGAAAACTGGAAAAGTCGAAAAATGAAAATACTGATTAATCGAAAAACCGAAAAATTAAAAAATCGATTAATAGAGGAATTGAGAAATCGAAAAATCGAAAATTTAGAAACCCCAAAAATCGAAAAATTGAGAAAATGAAAAATCGAGAAACTGAAAAAAAAAAACAAAAATGAAATGACAAAAAATTTAAAAATCGCGCAAAAATTTGTTAAATCGCAAAATTTTGAAAAATCGGGAAAAACGAAAAGCTGAAAAATCGAGAAATCAAAACATAAAAAAATTAAAATATTGAAAAACTGAAAAATCTAAAATTTTTAAAACGGGGAAATTAAAAAAAAACCAAATGTGTAATAATTAAAAAAATCGTAAAATCGAATAAACAAAAAATCTTAAAACTGAAAAGTCCCAACACTGAAACATGGAAAATTGGAGAAATCGAAAAACCTCAAGAATGAAGTGTTGAAAAGATTTCAAATTGATTGAACGAGAAATCAAAACAACAAAAAACCGAAGAATCAAAAATAAAAAAATCGGAAAATCAGAAAGACGAAAATAGGAAAAATCGACAATTTAAAAACGCCGAAAATCTAAAAATTGAGGAATCTGAAAAATTCCAAAATTGAAATATCCACAAATTGAAAAATCGAAAAACTGATAAACCGAAAAATCGAGAAATTGGAAAACCGTCAAGAAGTCGAAAATCGAAAAATTCAAAATTGAAAAATTTAAACCTAATACAAAACGTTAATTAAAAAAATTGAAAAAACGGAACTACGATATTTCAATAAACTGGGAAATCGAAAAACTGAAAAATTGTAAAAGCGAAAAAATGAAAGTCGAAAAAATTTAAAAACCGAAATATTGAAAAATCAAGAAATCAATCAAAAAACCGAAAAATTAAAAAATGGGAAATCGAAAAATCTAAAATTCAACAAATCAAAAAATTTCAAAACTGAAACACGAAAACTTGAAAAATCGAGAGAAAAAAAAAATCGAAAAATCGAATAATTATAAATTTTTTTTCCAAAAATTCAACACGGATTCATAAACCAAAATATGACTAATTTTAACATTTAATAATATTTATTCGACAAAATTTTGGGTAAAAACTCAACACGGCTTTATAATAAAAATCGACACAGACGACAGACAGACAAAATTTACCCACTCACCTCGCGCAATGCAGAATCGCCTGCGTCAGCTTCAAAACATGCGGGAACAAATCCTGAACATACGTCGACGTCGGCTCCGCCCCGCCCTCCGACCCTTCCGCCTCCTCCAGCCCCACCCCCACCTTCGCCAGCAAACAATCCAACAGACACAAATGCCACAACGGCGGCAAATGCTCCTTAAGCACCACCTCCTTCTTCACCTCCGGCGTCAACGCAATAATACAACTCTTCGCATTATTCACATCATTCTTCAAATTATTAATGCTATCGGACACAGCCTTCAACAGTTTATCGGTATTCTGAGTATACAACCCTTGCTTGACTAGACAATCCTTCAGCCAGCGACTGAAGTTCTTATGGGCGGTCCGCGGCCCCCAAATCAGCGAATGGAGCATGAGCGGGCCCGGGGTCAGACTCTCGACGGACGCCAACCTCTCCATGTAGGACACCGACGGTGGGAGGAGCTGGAGTAGTCTCCAGCAAATTGTGAAACAGTATTGGGTGGAGCAAAGTCCGAGAAAACTCATTTTGGAGGCGGTGGGGCCCGACGTGATGTGAGTGACATTGAGGATCTCGATTAGAGCGTCTAGCAGGAGTGGATACCGCAGTTTATCGGGTGTCCCTAGTATGAAATTGCACGCTAAACCGTCCAGCTTTGGGGCGTCTTGGTTGTTGATTTCGAGCGAAGTGAGGACGTAGAAGCGTGGTTTCATGGAAAATTCGCTCATGGTAGACACTTTCCGATAATTATCTTCTATATCTTGCCACGCTGTGTATTTTCGATTAACGTTTTCTTTTTCTTTGTCTGTGTTAAGATTGGTGGAGTAGAATAAATTCCACTGGATCTAGCCCGAAATAAAAAATCAAAACACACAAATCAAACGATTTATTTAAATACGTACTTGCTCTAAAAGGGACGACGGGGCGTCATATAGGTGTTTCATGATGTAGTCGAACAATAGAAGTAGACGCGACAGATGCAACAACTGTGAGTCTTTTAAAGACCCTCTTGCTACTTCCGAGCACCTCAGCAGCCCCCCAGCCAACAACAAAAGTACCGATTTTTTCTGCATCAAGTTCAAGGAATGGAACAAATACAACAACACCTGCGCATGCTCCACATTTAAATCTACAACCGACGACCGTTACAACTAACCTCAACCAAACCACTCTTACCTTCATCCGTCGGTCCTTGCGACGTATTCAACACGTTTTCAATCAACGTATTAACCAACCTATGCCAAATACTGATCACAGACGCCTCTTTCTCATTCTGGGGCCTTAACAACAACACCTGAGCCAACACACTCAACGTTCTAGGGTAAACCTGCAGAGGCCACCCGTGCGGGACGTCCGTATTCCACGGGGAAACCCCGAGATGGTTTAACAAACACGCTTGCAACGAATTCAGGTTGTTATTAGTGACCAGATTGTGCGTGAATTTGGTCAACGCCCCCGAAAAATCACAATACAATTGGCCCAAGGTGGCGCCGAAGTAAGCCGAGATCGCCCCCACCTCGGTCCGCGAGGTCTCCCGATCGAGATCGCGGATGATCGCCGCCAGGATGATCATCTGTTGTTCCGTCAAGCCGTTCTTGACGTAACGCGCGACGTAGGCGCTTTTCGTGCACAGGAAGTGCTTGTTAAGGAAGATGAAGATGTTGGTGGCTAGGGTGATGTAGCCGTGGGCTTCCCCCTTTTCAGGGACGATCGACGAACCTTCGGCCGGGGCCGACTTAGATTCGACGTTCTCCGAAGTCGAGGGGGTTTTTGATTCGGTGGTTTCCGGAGGGGCGAGGGTTTCTTCGAACCACTGGCCGAGGATGGGCTCGCTGTCGTCGTCTGTACACACAATTATTATTTTATTACTATCATTATTATTATTATTATCATTGTTTAAGTGTTGGACAACCTAATACAAATTTTACTTTGCTTAAATTTTTTATTCATTTCTGAATAATAAAAAAAAACCGAACGATAGAGAAATCAAAATATCAAAACACATTGAAAATTTAAAAATTCGGAAGATTACAAAAAAGAAAAATCTGGGAATTGAAAAAGTGAGAAATCGAAAAATCACAAAAATTTAAAAACCCGAAAAATCAAAATTTCGAAAAATTGAAAACTTAGAAAATCAATAAACTGAAACATCAAAAAAGAGAAAAATCTAAAATTTAGAAAATTGAAAAAGTAAAAAATTGAAGAATGGAAATATTGAAAAAATAGAAAACTAAAAACCGAAAAATTGAAGAATCGCAAAAACTAAAAATCTAAAAGTCGAAAAACAGAGAAATTGAAAAAGAGAAGAATCAAAGAATTGAAAAAAAGAGAAATGGAAGTCGAAAAATCGTCAAATCGAAAACTTACAAAATTTAAAAATTGAAAAATCGAGAAATCAGGGAGTGGAAAAATAGAAAAACCAATTGCTCGAGAAATTTTAAAATTAGAACTTTAGTAACGACAAAAATAGAAAAATTGAAAAATTCGCATATTGAAAAATTGAAAATTTAAAAAACATAAAAATCGGAAAATCAATTAATTGAGAAATCTAAAAATTTAAACTTTAGGAACGCCAAAAACGGAAAAATAGAAAAAACTGAGGAATCTAAAAATCTAAATTTAAAAAATTGAAAAAGCAAAAAATCGAAAAGTTGAAAAATTGAAGATTCGAAATATCGAAAAATGAGAAAACTGAAATATCGGAAAATTAGAAAACCTAGAAATCGAACTGCCGAAAAATCGAAAACCGAAAATTTGAAAAATGAAAAAATAGAAACCTGAAAATCGAAAAATTGTAAAAACTGAAAACAGAAATCGAGAAATCGAAAAATTTATTGATCGAGAAATCGAAATTAATATAGAAGTGCCAAAAATTCAAAAATTGAAGAATTGAAAAACTAAAAAATCGAGGAATCGAAAAATGGAGTCATCGGAAAAATCAAAAAATCTAGAAATTGAAAAATCGTCAAGGCGAAAAATCGAAAAACCGAAAATTTAAAAAACTGAAAAATTGAAAAATCGAGAAATCCAGAAGTCGAAAAACCGAGAATCGGAAAAATTGAAAAATCGAAAATTTCAAAAACTGAAAAATAGAGAAACTGAAAAATCGAGAAATCAAGACGTCTAAAAATCTAGAAAAAGGAAACATTAAAAAGGGGGAAAATCTAAAAACCGAAATATCGAGAAATCAAAACATCAAAAAATCAAAAACCTGAAAAATCGAAAAATTGAAGCATTGAAAAACTTGACAAATCGAGAAATTGAAAAATTAAAAAATCGGAAAACCTAAGCCGGAAATCGAGAGATCTAAAAATTGGGAATTTAAAAAACCATACAATAACATCAAAAAATTGAAAAATCGAGAAATTGAAACATCTAAAAAATCGGAAAACCTAAGCCGGAAATCGAGAGATCTAAAAATTGGGAATTTAAAAAACCATAAAATAACATCAAAAAATTGAAAAATCGAGAAATTGAAACATCTAAAAATCCAAAAATTGACAAATCGGAAAATTGAAGAATTGAAAAAACTATAAAATCGAGAAATCAAGAAGTCGAAAAATCCAGAAATGGAAGAATTCAAAAATCGGAAAATCTAAAGGCCGAAAAATCGAGAAATCTAAAAATTGGAAATTTGAAAAACCAAAAATCTAAAAATAGGAAAATTGAAGAATTGAAAAAGGGAGGGAATTGAAAAACTGAAAAACCGAGGAATCGAAAAATGGAGTCATCGGAAAATCAAAAAATCTGGAAATTGAAAAATCGTCAAACCGAAAATTTAAAACTGAAAAATTGAAAAATCGAGAACTCAAAACGTGGCAAAATCCGAAAATCTAAAAGACAAAAAATAGAGAAATTGAAAATCTAAAAAATCGAAAAATCAATTAGTCGATTTTTTTTTATTTTAAATTATTAAATTAATAAATAACTAAATAATCGAAAAATCTACAAATAAAAAATTTTGAAACGCCAAAAATTGAAAAATTTCTGAATAATTAAAAAAAAATGAAAAATCGAACAATCTAAAAACCGAAATATAGAAAAATCAAAATATCAAAACACATTGAAAATTTAAAAATTCGGAAGATTACATAAAAGAAAAATCGGGGAACTGAAAAACTGAGAAATTGAAAAATCTCAAAATTTAAAAACCCGAAAAATCAAAATTTCGAAAAATTAAATACTTAGAAAATCGATAAACCGAAACATCAAAAAAGAGAAAAATCTAAAATTTAGAAAACTGAAAAAGTAAAAATTGAAGAATCGAAATACTGAAAAACTGAAAAAATAGAAAACTAAAAATCGAAAAATCTAAAAGTCGAAAAACAGAGAAATTGAAAAATAGAAAATCAAAGAATTGAAAAAGAGGGAAATGGAAGTTGAAAAATCGTCAAATCGAAAAATCGAAAATTTACAAAATTTAAAAATTGAAAAACTGAAAAATCGAGAAATCAAGAAATGGAAAAATAGAAGGATCAAAAAATCGAAAAATCTAAAAGCCGAAAAATCGAGAAATCGAAGTCGAAAAATAGAAAAACCAATTAATCGAGAAATTTTAAAATTAAAACTTTAGGAACGCCAAAAACTGAAAAATAGAAACATTGAAAAACTGAAAAATCTGAGGAATCAAAATCTAAAATTTAAAAAATCACAAAAAATACAAAATCGAAAAGTTGAAAAATTGAAGATTCGAAATATCGAAAAATCGGAAAACTGGAATATCGGAAAATTACAACACCTAGAAATCGAACTGCCGAAAAATTTGAAAAATCAAAAAATAGAAACCTGAAAAATCGATTGGTCGAGAAATCGAAATATAGAAGTGCCAAAAATTCAAAAATAGAAAAATTGAAAAAGGGAGGGAATTGAAAAAACTGAAAAACTGAGGAATCGAAAAATGGAGTAATCGGAAAATCAAAAAATGAGGAAATTGAAAAATCGTCAAACCGAAAATTTAAAAATCGAGAACTCAAAACGTGGCAAAATCCGAAAATCTAAAAGACAAAAAATAGAGAAATCGAAAATCTAAAAAATCGAAAAACCAATTAATCGTTTTTTTTATTTTAAATTATGATTAAATTAATAAATAAGTAAATCAATAATCGAAAAATCTACCAATAAAAAATTTTGAAACGCCAAAAATTGAAAAATTGAATAAATATAAATTAAAAAACCGAAAAATAACATAAAAAAATTAAACAACCATAAATTGAAAACACGAGTAATCGAAAAATAGAAAAACTGACAAATCGAAAAACCGAAAATTTTAAAAATTGAAAAATCAGAAAGCTGAAAAATCAAACACTGAAGAATTGTAGAACTGGAAAATTGAGAAATCGAGAAGTCAAAAAATGGAAAAATCTAAAAGTCGAAAAACCGAGAATTGGAAAAGTTGAAAAATCGAAAGATTGAAACACTGAAAAATCGAGAAATCAAGGAGTCGAAAAATCCAGAAATGGAAAAATTAAAAAATCAGAAAGTCTAAAAGCCGTAAAATCGAGAAATCTAAAATATTGATGTGCCAAAAATTTTAAAATTTTCAATCGAAGAATTGAAAAACTGAAAAATCGAGAAATCTAAAAATAAAAAATTTTGAAACGTTAAAAATTGAAAAATCAAAAACTAATAAATCTATCATTGAAATAACCGAAAAATAAGATAAAAATTTGAAAAATCGATAAATTCAAAACTTGAGTAATCGAAAAATAGAAAAATTGACAAATCGAAAAACCGAAAATTTTAAAAACTGAAAAATTGAAAAATCGAGAAATCCAGAAGTCGAAAAACCGAGAATTGGAAAAATTGAAAAACCAATAATTGGAAAAATTGTAAAATCGAAAATTTCAAAAACTGAAAAATCGAGAAATCAAGACGTCTAAAAATCCAGAAAACGGAAACATTAAAAAAGGGGAAAATCTAAAAACCGAAATATCGAAAAAATGAAGCATTGAAAAACTGACAAATCGAGAAATTAAAAAGTGGAAAAATCCAGAAATTGAAAAATTAAAAAATCGGAAAACCTAAGCCGCAAAATCGAGAGATCTAAAAATTGGAAATTTAAAAAACCATAAAATAACATCAAAAAATAGAAAAATCGAGAAATTGAAACATCTAAAAATCCAAAAATTGACAAATCGAAAAATTAAAGAATTGAAAAAACTATAAAATCGAGAAATCAAGAAATCGAAAAATCCAGAAATGGAAGAATTCAAAAATCGGAAAATCTAAAAGCCGAAAAATCTAAAAATTGGAAATTAGAAAAACCGAAAAATAACATCAAAAAATCGAAAAACTGACGAATCGAAAAACCGAAACTTTAAGAATATGAAAACCAAAAATCTAAAAATAGGAAAATTGAAGAATTAAAAAACTGAAAAATCGAGGAATCGAGAAGTTGAAAAATGGAGTAATCGAAAAAACGATTGATCAAGAACTCTAAACATGTAAAATTTAGAAACGCCAAAAATAATAAAAATCATAAAACCTGAATTTCGAAAAATAAAACAAAATGGTCAAATCGAAAAAATCGAAAAACTGAAAACTCAAAAATCTGAAAAATGGCACGGGTAAATTTTATTAACGATTTAATATGTATCTAATAACTTAAAACGTTTGCAAGATTTTTTTATTTAAACTGCGAAATGTTACTATACCTATAATTTTGAATTTTTTCTCAAAAACAGGTTGTCCGACTATAAGACACTTGAACAATGCTATTATTAACAACCTACCGTCATCGATCGAGCTCTCATCCGATACCAAAATCATGTCCTCGTAATACGTAGTCGAATCCGATTGGCTGAACGTGTCCCCCTCGGGCGGGTCCAACCGCTTCAAGGCACACGCCTTCCCGTAACTGACGATGGCAAGATAAAAAAGGAAGTTGTTCAAAGGGGCGGCGCCTAAAACGCGCGCCGCTCGTTGCAAAGCCGTGAATTGGCCCATTATGGCCAACGGGGCGGGTTCAATCTAGAAAACACCAATCACCACGAGCCACCCACTTAAACGAAAAACAGTCACCTGTCCGATGCTTCCCGAGCCTGCACAGGCCTCCAGATGGAGATCTTCGAAAAGCTCGGTCAACAACGAGAGTGCTTTGGTTGCTATGGCGACCGACAAAACCCCGAACGACTGCTGGAATTTCTGCAGTCCCGATCGAGCCGAACTGCAGTCACGTGACTTGCACGGACTCCTCCCCTTGTCTTCCCTATCCCTAATGTGAGTACTTTTTTCGGCCGCAGTGCTCACAGTTAAGTGTGCTTGTAAGCCGGACACGAGTACCCAGGCACCGGCCAGCAGGTGGTTTTGATACACCTACAACGATCGCTATACAGGGTGCCCAACAAAAAAATTGTATACTTACGTAACCCCCCGCTCGCGTCGAATTTCTAATAACGCCCCCTATATAACAATACATGTTTAAAGCTTCTTCTACGAGAGTCACAGCTTGGGTCTCAAAATCGTCTTCTTTGATCCCGGTTTGCGACTGCTGGGCTGAACATTTCGGAGAAATGACAGCCGCCGCCGCCAAGATGGCGCTGGCGGCGGCTTGACTCACAGCGCAGTGTAACACAGCCATACTCAACGTGGATAACTTATCTAGTTTGCTGGGTGTGAGCGGTTCAAGAACGGGCAGATTGATGGCGGAGAGGGCCAACTTGATTTCGGAGATGTTAGTCGAAACACTATGGAAACGATCGTGCACGTTTACACTATAAGTCGTTTTCCGATTACCTACCTGTTCTTTAAAACCGCAGCTTCTGATTGGTTAGTGGGGATGCTGAACGGTTTCCCCGCTAGAGCCTCTTCTACTTTGGTACGCGCTTTCTTTATCGATTGCAAACTCAGGCACAGCTCGACGAGGGTGTCGCCGGCTCGTAAAGCTTGCAAGCTTTCGGTGTTTGTTTTTAAAAAGAGTTTCTACAAAGAAGATAGCTGTGTATGGAAAAAAAATTAAAAAAAGACGGTTTACGTTTATTTCAGAAGTGGGATCGCTGCCGGAAGGGACTTCAGTCGCGGTCGATACAGCAGACACGCTGTGGTCCGACGTTGTGGTGTGACCATCGCGTAGCGGTAGAGTTAGTTGCTCGAAGATGTCCATCGAGAGATCGGTCCGCGTCTTTGGGGATTCTTGCTTATTTGGTGCATCTTTTTCAGCACCTAAAACAAAATGTTTTATTAAACGCCCGAATACGGGTCTGCTCGGCGTTTGGCGACTGCTAAGCCTGAATCGAGAGTCCGTAATCTATTAGAATTTTTATTTTTGACGTCGGGTCCTCAAAGAATTGTACAACGTTTGTCTTGGACTTTTTTTTCTATTTTTAATAATAATTGACATATAGAGACCCGCTCTTAGTGACTCACCCTGTATATTTCGTGTCATTTTATGTGAATTTCGCTATAATATTTGAAAAATATTACTTAAAATTAAAAAAATAACTAAAGTAAGCACACAGTCCTTGACATCTCATTAACTACTAGAGATAGATCAAAGTTATACAGAGTATTCTGCTTTTGAGGCATAACACTCGTTTTTTATTTAATGAAACGCCCTATATATTTTTAGACATTCTGTTGGCTCTTCTTGGACTTAGAACCATATTTTATTTTTGAAATTCCGAAGCGATGTTGCCACGTTTTTCCAATTTTCTTGCCAATTTTCAAAACTTAATTTTATTTACATATTAATTATGACATTTCATTAATCAGTAGAGCTAGAGATAAAAAAAGTGTAACGTTATATAGGGTGTTCTAATTTTGAGAAACAATACACAAATTTGTTTTTTTTTTAATGAAACGCACTCTATATTTTTAGACTCTCTATTGGCCTCCCTTGGACTTAAAACCATATTGCCATAGTATTGAAATTTTCGAAATTTTCTTGTCAATTTCTTGGAATGCAAAAGACCACAAAAATACCCAATAGTATTATTTTTAACATCTGTAATTTAGAATTTTTTGGAAAAATTATATGTTCTGGTATCAATAAATTTGAACTACATATACAGAGTGTTCATAAAAAAGGACAATAATATCATTTTCAAATGTCGATATTATTTTGTCACACAGAATTGTGAATTTCATTCACAAAAAGAATAAAACAACAGGACGATTCTAGTAAAATACAGGCTCTTCTAGATGGGGAAAAAATTTGATTTTTTTTATACATATTTATACAACAATCAAGTGCGAATCTTTATTTATGTTCCCACAAAATATTGTAGTCCAATTTTTAAAATAATCTACGATTTTTTTGTGAACCTTTATAATGCTACAAAATTTCAAGAAAAATGGAATAACTTGCCAAGTCGTTTAGTTTTTTTTTTTATGAAACACCCTATATATTTTTGATACTCTATTGGGCTTCCTTAGGCTTAGAAACATTTTTTTTTAATCCCTTGCAATATTGCCACGTTGTTTCAATTTTCTTGACAATTTTCAAAAATTCACAAAGAAAAAATCGCAATTTTTAAACACCCGTGTTAGAATATTTTGCAATATCAACAAATGATCTTCATATACAGAGTGTTTATAAATAAATTGTAAAATTTAGAAATACCAAAAATTGAAAAACAGAACAATCCAAGAATTGAAAAATTGAAAAATCGAAAAACCGATTTTAAAAACATAAAAAACTTTTAAAAACTGAAAAATCGAAAAATTGAAGAATTGAAAAATCGAGAAATCCAGAAGTGGAAAAACCAATAATTGGAAAAATTGAAAAATCGAAAATTTCAAAAACCAAAAATAGAAAAACTGAAAGATCGAGAAATCAAGAAGTCTAAAAATCCAGAAAAAGGAAACATTTAAAAAGGGGAAAATCTAAAAACCGAAATATCGAGAAATCAAAACATCAAAAAATCGAAAACCCGAAAATTGAAAAATTTGAAAAACAAAAACCTGAAAAATCGGAGAATTGAATAATTGAAAAACTGACAAATCAATAAATTAAGAAGTGGAAAAATCCAGAAATTGAAAAATTAAAAAATCGGAAAATCTAAGCCGGAAAATCGAGAGATCTAAAAATTGGGAATTTAAAAAATCAAAAAATTGAAAAAATGAGAAATCGCAACATCTAAAAATCCAAAAATTGACAAATCGGAAAACCGAAAATTTCCAAAACTGAAAAATCGAGAAATCAAGAAGTCGAAAAATCCAGAAATGGAAGAATTCAAAAATCGGAAAATCTAAAAGCAGAAAAATCGAGAAATCTAAAAATTGGAAATTTGAAAAACCGAAAAATCGAAAAACTGACAATTCGAAAAACCGAAAATTTAAGAATTTGAAAATTGGAAAAGTAAAAAATCGAAAAGTTGAAAAATTGAAGATTCGAAAAATCGTAAAACTGAAATATCGGAAAATTAGAAAACCTAGAAATCCAACTGCCGAAAAATCGAAAACCGAAAAATTGAAAAATGAAAAAATAGAAACCTGAAAATCGAAAAATTGTAAAAACTGAAAAACAAATCGAGAAATCGAAAAATTGATTGATCGAGAAATCGAAATTAATATAGAAGTGCCAAAAATCCAAAAATAGAAAAATTGAAGAACTGAAAAAGGGAGGGAATTGAAAAACTAAAAAATCGAGGAATCGAAAAATGGAGTCATCGGAAAAATCAAAAAATCTAGAAATTGAAAAATCGTCAAGGCGAAAAATCGAAAAACCGAAAATTTTAAATTGAAAAATTGAAAAATCGAGAATTCAAAACGTCGCAAAATCCGAAAATCTAAAAGCCAAAAAATAGAAAAATCAAATATATCAAAAATCGAAAAATCAATTAATCAATTTTTTTATTTTAAATGATTAAATTAATAAATAAATTAATAATCGAAAAATCTACAAATAAAAAATTTTGAAACACCAAAAATTTAAAAAACTGAAAAATTGAAAAATCGAGAAATCCAGAAGTCGAAAAACCGAGAATTGGAAAAATTGAAAAACCAATAATTGGAAATATTAAAAAATCGAAAATTTCAAAAACTGAAAAATCGAGAAATCAAAACATCAAAAAATCGAAAACCCGAAAATTGAAAAATTTGAAAAACAAAAACCTGAAAAATCGGAATTTGAAGCATTGAAAAACTGACAAATCAATAAATTAAGAAGTGGAAAAATCCAGAAATTGAAAAATTAAAAAATCGGAAAATCTAAGCGGGAAAATCGAGATCTAAAAATTGAGAATTTAAAAAATCAAAAAATTGAAAAATGAGAAATCGCAACATCTAAAAATCCAAAAATTGACAAATCGGAAAACCGAAAATTTCCAAAACTGAAAAATCGAAAAATTGAAAAACTGCAAAATCGAGAAATCAAGAAGTCGAAAAATCCAGAAATGGAGGAATTCAAAAATCCGAAAATCAAAGCAGAAAAATCGAGAAATCTAAAAATTGGAAATTTGAAAAACCGAAAAATCGAAAAACTGACAAATCGAAAAAACGAAATTTTAAGAATTTGAAAATCAAAAATCTTAAAAATCGAAAAATTGAAGAATTGAAAAACTGAAAAATCGAGGAATCGAGAAATTACTAAAATCAAAAAATCGAAAACTTGTAAAACAGAAAAATCGATTAATCGAGAAATCTAAATATGTAAAATTTAGAAACGCCAAAAAAATATCGTAAAGGTCAAATCGAAAATTCGAAAAATCCAATGTCCATATTTCAATTTTTTCAAACAGAACAGCCTGTATTTCATTCACAAAAAGAAACAAAAAAAGGGCGATTTTTTTTGTGAGCTATTATAATACAAGAAAATTGTAATAACTTGCCAAGTCGCTTAGTTTTTTTTTTTATGAAACAAACTATACATTTTTGATACTCTATTGGGCTTCCTTGGGCTTAAAAGGATTTTTTTGTATTCCCTTGCAATGTTGCGACGTTGCTTCAATTTTCTTGACATTTTTCAAAGATTCAGAAATAATAAAAAGCCGCATGATTCGGTGTGAAAAAACTAATACTAAATTTTTATTTTTATAAACACTGTATTGTATATTAAGAGCTAATTTTATTTATACCGTAGTAAAGTGCGGATCTTTATTTATCTTCCTACAAAATATTGTAATCCAGATTTTAAAAATAACCCTGCTGCGATTTTTTTTGTGACCCATTAAAATGCCAAAAAAATGTCAAGAACATTGGAATAATTTGGCAACGTCGTTCAGTTTCTTTTGCATAAAACTCCATATATACTTTTAGATTATTCGATTGGTCTTCCTTGGGATTAGAACAATTGTTTTTAATTCCGATGCGATGTTGCCACGTTCCAATTTTCTTGACAATTTTCAAAGATTCACAAAGAAAAAATCACAATAGTGTTATTTTTAACACCTGTGTTACAATATTTTATGGAGATTGTAATGCAGATTTTAAAAATAACCTTGCTGCGAAAATTGGAATAACTTGGCAACGTTGCTTAGTTTTTTTTAAGAAACGCCCTAAATATTTTTAGATACTCTATTGGTTTGAAACCATAAATTCCGATGCGATGTTGCCACGTTATTCCAATTTTCTTGACAATTTTTAGCAAGACAAGTATTCACAAAAAATCACAATAGTGTTATTTTTGACACCAGAGTTACAATATCTTATGGAAAGATACACAGAGGCACGTGCTTTGTTGCAGTAACAATAAATTAGAATCCTAATATACAGCGTGTTTTTTAACATTATATTAAGACAAAGTGTGTAGATTCGCTTACGTCTCTATTAAAATTTGGAATAACGTGGCAACTGCGCGCTTATTGGCACCCTATATACAGGATTCCAGGAAGTACGACGAACTTTTTCTGAAATAACCGATTTGTCCGTTCTATTTTGGGACAATAAACAATTCAATAACTTTGAGGTGACGTCATCAACTTTCTAGAGCGGAAGAGTAAATAAATTTGTTCAGTGACGGTATGAATGTCAAATAAGACTTGTTATTGTTTTATAATACTTCATGCACAGGTGATGGACGTTTAGAAAATGATTTAAAATGTGAATAAAAAAATTCTTGTGCACGCCTCTGTACCGTCTTGCCACTCACCTGGAGGTGTCGTGTTGGTGTGCTGAGGTAGATTTTCTCCTTTCATAGTGTTGACCAGAACTGAGACTTCGGCTGTCGATAACGGACTAGTTCCTATACACAACACTTTCACTGCATTTAAGTAAATCTCGATTTGAGCACTGTTCTGGTTTGAATCACTAGCATGGGACTGAAGGCAATTGATTAAATACTTGAGCAACACCCGGCATGCCGCACTCACAGTGTCTATCTGGCTCACAGGCACTGGACAAAAAAAAAATTAGAAACACTTCTAGTCTGCTCCTTTTTCTATAAATACAGAAAGGTTATACAAGAGGAAAAAAACAAGAGCCATAAATATTAATACAACAAACAATCGCAAATGCGTAAAAAACTCAAGAGTGACTTTCTCCACTCTTCTAAATGTGGGTTCAATGTGAAAATAATTACCACCTTAGATGGGAATGGTGTTTTATATAACCCGTGGCGGAAATTCGTTCCACAATGAACCCTCACCGTGGCCGCTTCAGCCCTTGTTTTTATCACCGCGGCGCAAAAACGCAATTAGACCGGAGTTGGACCTAACCAAGAAGAAAAAATGGACCCCTTTACTCACATTTGCTAGTACAAGAACTGATATAATCCGCTGACAAGACAACAAAGTTGTCATAGAACTTCTTGTTATTCTCTTTGTGGCGTAGTATTTCAGCCTCGCTGCAACAAAAACCCGTATAAACATAAAACGGCCCAATTCCATTATCTCCTTCATGTCGCTGGGTCATAGACAAAATTGCGTATTATCACTAGCACCCGCCGCTCACCCCCTCGCAATCAAACTCCGCCGGACTCACCATTTGATAATTGTAGAGCACAGTTCGATTATTTCCGTGCGGTTTGAAGTCTCATAATGCAAAGATAAAAATGGTTTTAACACCGAAGACCACTCCACTCCGCCACTGCTAGCGGCCATTGTGTCTGCCATTTGTAATTCACTGAGCAATGACAAGTGGATTTTGGGGACATTTCGCGTTCGAGACAGCGGCGGTTGGCAGCGCGCCGGCTGGAAAACCCGAAATTCGCCGCAAAACGAGAATTTTCACACCGGGAAAGCGAAGCCGATTTTCCAGGCAGGGAAAATCCTACCTGAGACGCCGAAAATCAGCGCGGACTGTCATTCGCGCCGACGTCGGACACGCAGATGGCGACACCGGCGTTATTTACAACTCCGCCATAGCAACGGAACTAGTGAGATGTCATTTTGACACAAAGTAAATTTGTTTTATTTGCTGATTGTATTTATCGCTTAATTTGTTAAAAGAGAACGCCTGATTAGCGAGTGCCAATTTTCGATGTGCCAGGACCCCAACGATTCCCTCCAGCGAGGTGGGTGCCCGGATTCGGGTTTTCCTCAAGTGTGTGTTTTCCTGTTGTAGATGGCCACAGCTCTGTACAATGATAAAGACACCTCAGACGAGCTATGGAAGGAGTGCGCCAAGTGGCTCACGAGGTGGGGGATGCTGCGGAGCGACCACCGGGCCAACTGGCCGGACGCGTGTATCGCAGACCTAGCAAACATACTCAGAGATGGGGTGCTCCTGTGCAAATTGCTCAATAAAGTGGATCCAGGATGCATCGACATGAAGGATGTCAACTTAAAGCCAACAATGGCTCAAGTACGGTCAATCACCACATAACCCATCATTCTAAATTAATCTTTCCAGTTCTTGAGCCTTCACAACATCCAGCTGTTTTTAAAAGCCTGCGTGATTTCATTCGGGCTGAAGGAGCACGAACTTTTCGATCCTTTGGTGCTTTTTGAGTTAACCAATTTCCACAAAGTATTATGTACACTCTCAAGGTTCTCCCTTTGTACCAAAGCACAACAAGGGGGCATAATGTAAATATTTACGTTTATATTTAAGCGTTTTGTTTTCATGTGTTATCTCAGGGGGTTTCAAGCTCACAAGGTTAAAACTCAAGCAGATGACCTCATCTACCAGAGCCTCAAATCAGTGTAAGTAAATTTTCATTTTTAGTTTTGATTTTTTCAAACTAACATAAATGGGTTTATTTGGGTTTATTCAAGGTTAACTCAATAAATTTTTAAGTGTCTTTAAAACGCGCGCAATAACGGGAGAAATAACGTAAATTCCTCAAACATAACGTGAAAAAAATTGTGAAAATGTGCTGCTTTTGTACTAGTAATCAGTTGATCTAATGTAAGTCTTTTTTTGATAACATTTGATTTAAGTAATTTTTTACTATAAATATGTACCATATGATCGAAAAAAAGCCTCTAGTAGGCCATGGAATTTGTTTTTACTACTTTCGTGTTTCCTGGACGTGTCACGGCCTCTAGAGGTTGACAAAATAGGTCCCCCGTTTCCGTCTGTCGTCTGCGTCAACAAAAGTAAATTTTATTGCTTTAGGCCAGTTTTTTTAATAAAAACGGAACGAAAGTGTAGGTTAGAAAAAACACCCCTACAATACGAGCGCAGCGAGCACGTTCAAGTTTCTTTTTTTTTTTTTTTTGTAGAGTATAAATATATTTTTTTTTGTTAATAATTTAGTCTCTCAAGGAGAGCAGTGAAATATTTTTAATAAAAAAAAACAGAAATTAAGAGATTGAGAATTTGAGAAATTGAAAAATCGAAAATTTGAAAACTCAAAAATTAAATAATTGAAAAACTGACAAGTCTAAATTGAAAATCAAAAAATTAAAAAAACGAAAAATTGTAAAATAATTGAAAAACTAAGAAATAAAGTTCTAATAGCAAAATTTAAAGAATCAAAAACTAAAAAATCTAAATTGGAATCGAAAAATCAAAAATTGAAAAATTGAAATTTGTAAAAATTAAAAACCGAAAAATCCAAAAATGTAAAAATTAAATAATCAAACAATTAAAATGAGGAATAATTGAAAAACTCGGAAATCAAAGTTTGAAAAAACGAAAAACTGAAGAATTTTAAATGGAAAATAATTAACCGAAAATCCAAAAATTTTGATAATTGAAAAATCGACTAATTGAAAATTGAAAAACTGAAATTTCTAAAAATTAAATATAATCGAAAAATCCAAAATAAAATTTTTCAATAATTAACTGAAGAATAAAAAATTTAATAATTTAGGAATGAAAATTCTAAAAATTAAATAAAATGGAAAAATTGAAATTAGAAAAAATTGAAAAATTTAAAAAGCGCAAACGGAAACTGGAAAGTTTAAAATGGAAAATCAGTAATAATTTAAAAAACAAAAATTCAAAAGTCAAATGAAATACTGAAAAATCAAAAATAGAAAATCAGTAATTTACTGAAAAAACAGATTTTTAATAATCCAAGAATTGAAAATTCTGAAAATTAAGTATTCAGAAAATTGAAATAAAAAAAAAAAATTTGAAAATTTTGAAATCACCTTTCGTGGTTATTGGAAAAGATATCGTTACGATTTCAGATTTGTAACTGACGGAAGTTTATCTACAATTGACACCAATTGTCAGTCGATTGAACCAATTGTACCAATTTTTTTGGAAAATTTTTGAAAATTTTGAACTCACTTTATGTGTTTTCTAGAACAGATATCGTGACCGCGACTTTAAATTTGTAACTGGGGGAAGATTATGTACATTTTGATACAAATTTTCAGTCGATTGAACCCATTTTAGCAATTTTTTTGGAAAATTTTTGGAAATTTGGAATTCAGTTTTCGTGTTTATTGGAACAGACGATTTCAGATTTATATTTTGATACCAATTTTCGGTCAATTGAACCCATTTTAGCCATTTTTTTTTTTTGAACATTTTTGGATATTTTTAGGATTTAGGATTTGTAATTAACAGAAGATCATTTTCAATTTGACACCAATTTTCGGTTAATTGAACCAATTTTAGACATTTTTTGGAAATTTTTTAATTCGTGTTTATTGGAACAGATGTCGTGACGGCGATTTGTGAGTTGTAATTAGGGATAGATGATCTACAATTTGACACCAATTTTTAGTCGATTAAATCATTTTAACATTTTTTTTTGGAAAAATTTTGGAATCATATTTTACTTTTATGTCAATATTTTTTTTGAAAAGGTAAAAAAAGGGAAACGGAAAAATATAAAATGGAAAATCAGTAATAGTTTAAAAAACAAAAATTAAAAGCCGAAACATAAGAAGAGAAATAAAAAACCGAAAAAATGTAAAATAAGGAATAATCGAAAAACAAAAAAATCTAAATTGCAAAATAAGCAATTAATCCAAAAATTGAAATTTGTAGACATTGAAATAAAAAAATCGGATCATTAAAAAATAATTGAAACCTCAAAAATTAAATACCGAAAAATCGAAAACTGTAAAAATTAAATAATCAAACAGTTGAAATAAGGAATAATTGAACAACTTAGAAATCTAAAATGGAAAATAATTACCCGAAAAATCAAAAATTGAAGAGTTGAAAAAGTGAAATTTGTACAGATTAAATCATGGAAAAATTGAATTAAAAAAAAATTTCAAAATTTCAAAAAAACGATATAAACCAAAAAATGGAAAATCAGAAAATCACTAATGTATTTAAAAATCCAAGCATTGAAAATTTAGAAAAAAGTCGAAAAATTGAAAAATAAAAATTTGAAAAACGTAAAACTGAAAAATCCAAAATGGAAAATCAGTAATAATCAAAAGATTAAAAACCGAAAAATCGGAAAATGTAAAACTTAAAAATTAAATAATCGACAAATTGAAATAAATAATAATTATAAAACTAAGAAACTGAGACATTCAAAAAACACAGTTTGAAAAAACGAAAAACTGAAAATCTAAACCGGAAAAAAGCAATTAACCGAAAAATCAAAAGCTAAAAAGTTGAAAAAGCCAAATTTGTACAATTTAAATCATCGAAAAATTAAAAACCGGTAAAATTGAAACTTGCAAAAATTAAAAAAGCGAAAAATTGAAATAAGAAATCTTTGAAAAACTAAGAAATCGAAAAATTCAAAAATCAAAATTTCAAAAAAAAAGAAAAGTAGTATACATTCTTATTAATTATTATTTTTTGAGGAATGTTTTCGATCATATGGTATTAAACCAGTCAAATTCTACATCATATAACTGTATAATACACAGTTGAGCTCGTTACATTTTTTTACATTTCGGATTTCAATCCACAAATACATAACGACCAAAGTAGGCACCCGAGAAAGGTCCGACTACCACCAATCCCCCTCTATCCCTGTAAATAACCACCTACCCCAAAACAGAGACGTCCGCTCCAGCGTTTGCGAACCCAGCTGGTTGCAATTCACGATCCCCTGTCCAAGACCCGAGGACCACGAAGAGGAGATTTACGACGATCTGTGTTACGTCACCTTCTCGACCTGCCTGCCAGAGGTTCGCATAAAATCCAACTCCAGGCGTAGACTTTTCTCACCCGTTTTTGATTTCTTTGAGTTAGTAGAATCACTTATGCATGGCTTTGTTTTTTTATTTCTGTAGCGAACCACCATCCAATGATAGAGGAATGAGTGACCCGATTTATGACACCGCGAGCGAGGAGATTTATCAGGATTTGTGCGTCGTGCGCATACCGTTCGAGGTACCATATTTTTTTTTTTTTTGAGTTGCACACTTTTAGCTTTTTTGGTGTGTTGGGGGTGTGAATTGTGGTGACTAAGGAGGGTGGTTTTTAGCTGCAACCCACGTTCGAAAAGAGGGATTTCGTGATTAAGGAGTTGTTGGACACGGAGAAGAATTACGTGGAGGTGTTGGCTAAGTTGAAGAGGAATTTTATGCAGCCGTTGAGTAATCAGATGAAGCAACAAGATCATGAGAGGGTTTTTTATAAAATAAATGTGTGTGGGTTTGTTTTTTTTGGTGGCTAGAGTGACGTGGAGGGTTTTAGGAACTGCACGAAATTCATTCCGAGTTTCATCGGGAGCTTAAAAGGTTTAGGGATCCGATGAATAAGCTGAGTTTGATTTTTATGAGGTGGAGGGAGAGGTTTTTGGTTTATGGAGGCTATTGTGCTAATTTGACTCGGGCGACAAATTTGTTACAAGAGTTGTGTGATAACGATGAGAATTTTAATGCAACCGTGGTGGTAAGTTGTTCTTAGTCTTGAAGGGTCTAAAATGATAATAAAAACCTAGGCTTATGAAAAAGAGGACAATAATGGGAGGTTTAAACTCAGGGACGTCTTATCAGTCCCTATGCAAAGAATTTTAAAGTATCATCTTCTTCTACAGAAGCTTATCGAAAATACTGACCATGTAAGTAGTCGATTCGTCGCTGACGTTGTTTTACATTTCGGATTTCTGTATGTGTTGTGTAGAACCATGATGAGTATAATGACCTGACGCGGGCCCGAGAAGCCATGTTGGACGTGGCCGGATTTATAAACGAAGCCGCTCGCGATAGCGAGCACTTGGAAGTCATACATAACCTCCAAGAAAACATCGGTGAATGGGATAGGTCGCCCTATCACCGCTTAACCAACTACGGTAGACTGATCAAAGACGGCGAACTCAAAATCAAAGCTCACGACGATCAAAAAATCAGAAACCGATACGTGTTCATCTTTGATAAATGTATTTTAATTTGTAAACAGCTCAAGGGTCAACAGTTCGCTTTCCGTAACATAATCAACATAAGTGAATATCACGTGGACGAGACCCATAATAGGGCCATCCTGGGTCGGGACGCCCGATTCGGGTACAGTTTCCACTTGGTGAAGAACGACAACGTGATGGTGTATACCGTCTTCGTCCGGTCTATAGAGTTGAAGCAGCAGATGATCAAAGCGATCAAAGACGCACTGTAAGTGTTTGCTTGGTTCGATATAGTGAGTCAAGGTGTTTCGATAGGGACAACATCCATCCTCAGGCCATCAAGCGCACGAACCACTCGTTCGAACTGACGACGTTCGACGAACCCGTTCAGTGTTTCCATTGCTCAAAGTATTTAAAAGGGTTGATCTATCAAGGGTATAGATGTTCGGTGTGTAACATAGGGGTGCATAAGCAGTGTATAGCACAGTCGGGTCGGTGCGGGACTCACAGTCACCACCACTCAACGTCGTCAGTGGAGTCGGTGACGAACGGAGTGGACGCCGGACTTCGAGACAAGTTATGGTTCGTAGGCGAAATGGATAGAGCCCGAGCCCAAAACGAGCTAGAAACCAGAGAAAACGGGACTTTTCTAGTGAGGATAAGACCCCAGAGTGAAGAAAAGGACAAGTACGCGCTCACGCTCAAGTAAGCTCGACACTTCTTAAAACACCTGCCGCATATTGATCTTTCAGAACCAACGACACCGTCAAACACATGAAAATCTGCAACACAGACGAACAAGAACGCAAGTACTATCTATCCTTATCGAAATTCTTTAGTAACATAGAGGAACTAGTGCTCAACTACCAAATCAACAGTCTACGGGAAAACTTCGAAAAGTAGGTGTTTGGGTTCGGTCTAGTCCGCACTGTAAAACGATGTTTTAGACTGGAAGAGAACACGAAATTGCTGTGGCCTTATCGACAGCTTCTCGCCACCGCGATCCGGAGCTTCGACCCCACCGACCACTGCCACTTGCCACTCAAGGAGGGTCAGACGGTGTACGTCATCGGCAAAGAGGGGTACCGGGAGGGGTGGTGGAAGGGGCGCAACGAGCACCTCCAGAGCGGCTTTTTCCCGAGCGTGTTCGTGCGGGTGGAGGGGGAGGCCCGGTTCAACACTAGTCGGCATTTCGCGCAGTAGTCGGGTGCCCGAGTCGTGCATTACTTGCCAGTGTTACTTTTTTAAGTGTTTATGGATGTATGGCAAGTGTATTTGTGCCATTTTGTATCAATCCTGCGATTGTCTAGTATTATGATGTGTCAAACTCAGCGCACGCGCATTCCGGTGGGGAGGAGCTAGCGCCTGATTGGCCGATGGATCTATCACGCAATTTTACTGTGAAACGCTCTCTGTACACTTTTCTGTCCGTCACAAAATCAACGAATTGACAGTTACTACTCCCCGTTTTAGAGTATCTGTTGTTAAAAGGAAAAGTATATTTTATTCTAGAAATATTAAATGGAGATAATTTGTTATCTTAAATGTATGTTTAATAAATGAGTATTGTTTATGTGTTTGACTGTGGTGACATGGCCAACGCATTTTGAAGAATTGTGATTGGTGGAAGAAAAAAGTTTGGTTTACAAACGTGTCAAAGGTAGCAAAATTAGCAATTCCAAGAAGAAATAATGAAATTTTATTAAAATTACGCATTTCAATAACTATAGAAATTTTGCACCTACTTATGATTACTAGACAAAAATTGGTATAAATTGCTTCTTTGAAAAATTTTAATTTTTGTTTTGTAATGGCCCTTATAAAGTGAAGACCAGTGGCGTAGTTAATACGGGCATTTAAAGCAAATAACCAACGAAAAAAATATTTAATGTTTTCAAAATATGGAGAAATTTCCAACATTTTAAAAATTAATAAACCAAAAAAAAACCAAAGATCGAGCAATTGAAACATCAAAAAATGGAAAAATTTTAAAAATCCAGAAATCGAAAAATTCCGAAAACTGAAATATTGTAATGGTGGGTAATCGAAAAATGTAAAATTTAAGAAATAGAAAAATCGAGACGGCAAAATCGACAAATTTTAAAGCTGGAAAACCGAGATGTTGAGAAATCGAAATGTGAAGAGATCGGAAAACAAATTAGCTTAAACGAAAGTTTAAAAATGGAAAATTTTAAACATTGAAAACTTGACGAAATTAGGATCATAATGTTGTAATTTTTGTCAAGACACGAATCTGTCCGTTTCGCGATGTCAATAATGTTCAAATAACGGAAAAAATATGTTTATAAGGAAAAAAATTCCACATTTTTTTCAAAACCAGATTGACTACAATTTGGCACCAATTCTCAGTCGATTGAACCCAATATCGTGACAATTTCAGAATTATAACTTGCAGAAGATTAGCTGAATTTTGACACCAATTTTCAATTGAACCCATTTTAGTATTTTTTTTTTAATTTTTTGGAAATTTTCCAAAAATTTTACATTTTTTTTTCAATAGATGTCGTGAAGGCGATTTAGGATTGGTAATTAATAGAAGATCATTTACAATTTGACACCAATTTTCGGTTAAATTAACCAATTTTAGACATTTTTTGGACATTTTTTAATTCACTTTTCGTGTTTATTGGAACAGATATCGTGATGGCCATTTTTGAGTTGTAGTTAGAAATAGATGATCTACAATTTGACACCAATTTTCAGTCGATTGAACCATTTAACAATTTTTTTTTGGAAAATTTTTGAAAATTTTGGAATCATATTTTACTTTTATGTCAGCAGATGTCATGAAGGCGATTTAGGAGTTGTAATTGGCGGAAGATTATCGACAATTTGACACCAGTTGTCACTCGATTGAACCTATTTTTATTGAAAAGGTAAAAAAACGGAAACGGAAAAGTCTAAAATGGAAAATCAGTAATAATTTAAAAAACAAAAAACTGAGAGATCTAAAATGGAAAATAATTACCCGAAAAATAAAAAATTTAATTGAAAAAGTGAATTTATACAGATTAAATAATGGAAAAATTAAATTAAAAAAAAAATTTGAAAAATTAAAAAATCAAAATTTCAAAAAAGTGGAAAATCACTACAGTATACATGAAAATCCAAGCATTGAAAATGTCGAAAATTAATTAAAAAATGAAAATTACAAAAACGTAAAACTGAAAAATCCAAAACTTGAAGAATCAAAAAACTAAAGTAAGGAGTAATTGAAAGACTCAACATCCGAAAAATTCAAAAATTAAAATTTGAAGACTAAAAACGGAAAAATGAAAAAATTGAAAATTGTAAAAATTAAATAATAGAAAAAAAATGTCTTTCAAGTCTGTGTTTGTTCCGTTATGTATTTTAAATATCAAAATATCTAAAGAAAATTATAATTTCTTTTAATATACACTTTTTCTTAAAGAAGTTCCTACAGATTTTTGTAATAAATAATTTTAAAATAAATTTTAATCCCGGCGCCTCCACCATGTTTTCCAAAATTTAAAGTTTATGAAATGAGCTTACAATGTTATCAACTCTTCAGAAATTTTCTCAGGATCACGAATCTGTGCTTCTTTTCGCAATGTCTTCAAATAACGGAAAAAAATATGTTTATAAGGAAAAAATTCCATATTTTTCTCAAAACCGTTCATTAATTTTCCTTCAAGTCTGTGTTTGCCCCGCTATTTAATTTAGATATCAAAACATCTAAAGAAAATCATCATTTCTTTTAATATACACTATTTCTGAAAGGAGTTCCTACAGATTTTTGTAATAAATAATTTTAAAATAAATTTTAATCCCGGCGCCTCCACCATTTTTTCCAAAATTTAAAGTTGATGAAATGTCCTTTCAAATAACGGAGAAAAATATGTTTATAAGGAAAAAAATCCGTATTTTTCTCAAAACCGTTAATTAATTTTCCTTCAAGTCTGTGTTTGTCCCGCTATTTAATTTAGATATCAAAACATCTAAAGAAAATCATCATTTCTTTTAGTATACACTATTTCTGAAAGGAGTTTTTACAGATTTTTGTAATAAATAATTTTAAAATAAATTTTAATCCCGGCGCCTCCACCTTTTTTATCAAAAAATTTAAAGTTGACGAAATGAGCTCACATTGTCATCATTCTCTTCAGAAATTTTCTCAGGATCACGAATCTGTCCTTCTTTTCGCAATGTCTTTTCAAATAACGGACAAAAATATGTTTATAAGGAAAAAAGTCCACATTTTTCTCAAAACCAGATTATCTACAATTCGACACCAATTTTCGATCAATTGAACTAATTTTGGCCATTTTTTTGGAAACTTTGAAAATTTTGAATTCACTTTTCGTGTTTCTTGGATAGATATCGATCGTAACGGCGACTTCAAATTTGTACCTTGCGGAAGATTTTGTACAATTTGACACCAATTCTCAGTCGATTGAACCCATTTCAGCAATTTTTTGGGAAACTTTGAATTCAGTTTTCGTGTTTATTGGAACAGATATCGTTACGACAATTTCAGAATTATAACTTACTGAATTTTGACAGCAATTTTCGGTCAATTAAACCCATTTTGGTAATTTTTTTTTTTAATTTTTGGAAATTTTCCAAAAGTTTTACTTTTTTTTTCAATAGATATCGTGAAGGCGATTTAGGATTTGTAATTAACAGAAGATCATTTACAATTTGACCCCAATTTACGGTTAATTTAACCAATTTTAGACATTTTTTGGAACATTTTTGGAATTTTTTAAATTCACTTTTCGAGTTTATTGGAACAGATATCGTGACGGCGATTTCTGAGTTGTAATTAGAGATAGATGATCTAGAATTTGACACCAATTTTCAGTCGATTGAACCATTTAACATGTTTTTTTGAAAAATTTTTGAAAATATTGGAATCATATTTTACTTTTATGTCAGTAGATGTCTTGAAGGCGATTTCGGATTTGTAATTGGCGGAAGATTATCGACAATTTGGCACCAGTTGTCGCTCGATTGAACCTATTTCTATTGAAAATGTAAAAAAAAACGGAAATGGAAAAGTCTAAAACGGAAAATCAGTAATAATTTAAAAAACAAAAATTAAAAACCGAAAGATTAAGAAGAAAAATAAAAAACCACAAAATTGTAAAATAAGGAATAATCGAAAATCCCAAAAGTCTAAATTGTAAAATAAGTAATTAATGGAAAAATTGAAAGATCAAAAATTAAATACCGGAAAATCCAAAACTGTAAAAATTAAATAGTCAAAAAATGAAAATAAGGAATAATTTGAAAAACTGAGAAATCTAAAATGGAAAATAACTACCCGAAAAATCAAAAATTGAAGAATTGAAAAAGTGAAATTTGTACAAATTAAATAATGGAAAAATTAATGAAAAAAAAAAAATTGAAAAATGCAAAAGTCACTACAATATACATAAAAATCCAAGCATTGAAAATTTCGAAAATTAATTAGGAAATGAAAGATTAAAATAAAAAACATTAAAAAATCGAACAATTGAAAAATGAAAATTTCAAAATCGTAAAAACTGAAAAATCCAAAACTTGAAGAATTAAAAAACTAAAGTAAGGAGTAACTGAAAGACTCAGCATCCAAAAAATTCAAAAATTAAAATTTGAAAAGACTAAAAACGGAAAAATGAAAAAATTGAAAATTGTAAAAATTAAATAATAGAAAAAAAAATTATTTCAAGTCTGTTCTTCCGTTATCTATCTTAAATATCAAAATATCTAAATTTCTTGTAATATACACTATTTCTGAAAGGAGTTCCTACAGATTTTTGTAATAAATAATTTTAAAATAAATTTTAATCTCGGCGCCTCCACCATTTTTACCAAAAATTTAAACTTGACAAAATTAGGTCACAATGTTATCATTCTTTTCAGAAATTTTCACGAATCTGTCCTTCTTTTCGCAATGCCTTTTCAAATAACGGAGAAAAATATGTTTATAAGGAAAAAAATGCCACATATTTCTCAAAACCGTTCATTAATTTTCCTTCAAGCCTGTGTTAGTCCCGCTATTTAATTCAGATATCAAAACATCCAAAGAAAATCATCATTTCTTTTAGTATACACTATTTCTGAAAGGAGTTCCTACAGATTTTTGTAATAAATAATTTTGAAATAAATTTTAAGCCCGCCGCCTCCACCATTTTTATCAAAAAAATTTAAAGTTGACGAAATGAGCTCACAATGTTATCATTCTCTTCAGAAATTTTCTCAGGATCACGAATCTGTCCTTCTTTTCGCAATATCTTTTCGATTAACGGAGAAAAATATGTTTATAAGGAAAAAAATTCCATATTTTTCTCAAAATCATTCATTAATTTTCTTTCAAGTCTGTGTTTGTCCCGCTATTTAATTTAGATATCAAAACTTCTAAAAAAAAATCATTTTTTTTAGTATACACCATTTCTGAAAGGAGTTCCTACAGATTTTTCTAATACATAGTTTTAAAATAAGTTTTAATCCCGGTGCCTCCAACATTTTTACCAAAAATTTAAACTTGACAAAATGATGAGGTCACAATGTTATCATTCTTTTCAGAAATTTTCTCAGGATCACGAA